TGTTCCCAGATCAAAAGATTCCGACGTATCTGACGAATATTAAACTTAGGTACTGAACAGTAGATGTCAAGGCTGCATGACGAAACAGACATGTAACAGCGTTGAAACTCAAGTATATATATAGGCATAATTATTGACATACGATCGGACGAAGGCCGGGTAGGGGAATTTACTGCGTCGTGTTCAATTTTTGAATGTGACGTCTATACCAACCAACCAACCATCTATTAAGAGACGTCATTTGATTAATAATCAGGGAACTAGACTACGAGAAACTTCGCCAGCGTACTACTGCATGTACACATTAAAGCAATAAAAGGACTTCAGGCAGTGAATCCGAGGTTTGCTTGTTCCACACCATCCAACCAAGCCACTACATGAATTTCCTACCGTGTTGCCAAAAAGGAGATCCGGCATTTCAAAGTGCTTCTTACCATGAGTTTCTGATGTCGCTAACTGATGTTGCACAAAATAATTATGCATGACTAATTTCTTTGCACAGTCGTTAACATGATGCGAATAGACTGCTGTGTGTGTACTCTCGGTGTCCGGTTTCTGCATAAAAACCTTTAAAGTAAACAATGAACCTAACGTTTGAGCAAAGGTCAAGATAATATGATAAAGTCTGACCAAAAAAAGAGAGAAAATTCAAAGGTTATTCCACAATTGCTGGCATAATCAACAAAATCAAATGCAATTTTTGTCTTTCTTTCTAATAGCAGTTCGTAAAAACACAGACTTGAATTAGTCCCACCGTATCACTCTTAGCAAACGATTATCGAAAAAAAATAGGTAATTAGTTATAGCACAGTGCCATTGAAGAGGGTCCCACGAAAAGTGATACAAATGATAGCATGATAATTGTTTACGAAACTATGGCTACAACACACTGAAATAAGTTGTGTTTGAATACGTCATTTATAAGCGAACATGCCATGGGCCCCATCAAAGTGTAGACACGGCCCATGCATCAACATTATACCGCTGCTTTTCTCAATGTGCAATTAATCGAAAGTACGATTCCATCTTTCCGCATATTACTTCAGTAATTAAGAATCCACGATGTCCACATATGGTCTATAGATTCGGCAGAAAAAAAGAAATGAGTGTTTGGTTTTTATGCACCATATAGTCGGGGTGTATTTTCAGGGTGGAGCGCTGTGGTCCAATGTTTACGCTGTTCGATTCACGTGCCGTGGTACGTGGGTTCGAACCCTGGCGGTGAACATGATGCTTGTGTTCTTGGGCAAGACACTTTACTACAATTGCCTCTCTCCACCCAGGAGTATATATGGGTATATGTGAAGGTAGAGATCAGAATACGCTCATCTGCAGAAACTGGTCTCGTGGCCTGCCGAACAGGGGTAATAATGGTAAAGCGCTTTGAGGCCTTACGTTTAAAGCGCTATATAAGCGCCACATTATTATTTTTATTTTAGCGATCTTTAGGATTTCCGATTTAGATTTTTGAGTGTCTTGATTATTAAACGTAGGCCTCCTAATAAGAATTGGTATCTTTTTGAGTGGATTTATAGTTGTTGGCCTGTGTTGTGGATCATGCAGTTGTTGGACTCGATCGGCAATAGAATTCAAAACCCACATGAGACTTTTAAAGTTTCCCTCCTGGAAATTTGATTGCTCTTTGTGTGGGAGCCGCTGGAGTGTGATGTGAGAATAAATAAATAAACAAACACACCAACACCCGGGTTCGAGTCACTCCTTTAACTCTCCTGCTGTTTAAAAGGTCACAAATGGTCAAATTTCCTTCCACTTCCCCTGGCATACTTTTAACAAACCAATGAGTCACTTGACCAATATTGACCCAAGTAACAGCATGGCTCGGAATGCATGTTTCCATAGCATATAGGAGGGTTTTATTCTGTTAAAAGCGAGCGGTGCGCAGGCCAGCAGCAAGGGAGACAGCACGTTGGGGAAACAATTAAATTATTACAAACAAGGACAGAAAAGGGAGAAAAACGAAACGAAAACCATAAAATGTAACATCGTTCCTGAGGGAGACCCTATTGTACATAAATTATAAATATCTAGGAGAGTATTTCACTTACGAGAAAGAGTTGTCGAGGTGTCAGAGCACAATACCCACCCTAACTGTAAAATTCTTCAAGAAACACATAAATTTCATTGTAAAAATCAACATTTTCTAAATTGACAGTGATAACAGGGAATTAATTCAGCCTGTCTTTAAACAGTCATATATTAAGCTATACAGTAAAAGTAAAGACCGTGAATCAATTACAAACTGTAGCAAGGGATTTCTCTCTAAAGACAATAATTATTTCAGAGATTAAATCCAATTCATCGAAATTCTCAGATTATTTTGTGTCACTCATAATCTGCGAATTTATCAACTAAATACAATGACACTGACCTAGCGATTTAATGCACTTTGATTTTACACACAAAAATAATCAATTTATCTACAGTTGAAAACCTTTGACCGGTAATTATGATGAAAACACCGTGATTCAAAGCGACATGTCAAATAAACGTTCTCAATGTGCACGCAAGAGGGCCTCCATCAAATTTCATGAGCAACGGAGAGCTGAACGAAAATCCTAAATTACGCCAAGTTTCATAACAAAACTTGATCTCCCTACTTCATTATATTGTGACAGAGTCCCTAATATGTTGAAATATTGCTGGTTCATGAATGAGGATTCGATAATCATCAAGGAAAATGTTTACATGATAAAAGCGACCGGTGCGCAGCCTGGGCCAGCGGCAAGGGAGAATGCACGTTGGGGAATGGTGTAATCACCGCTTGCTGGCGCTGTCAAGGGGGGGGGGGGGGGAATAACAAGGGCCTGGACTTTTTACTACACCTTATACCTATAATTAATAGTCATGATCAAAATTTGATCACTTCATTTGCCGATTCCACCGCGCGTCCGGGAGGTAAACATGGCACCAGCCCATGTGACGTCATCAAGGTGAGTATCCAGCTCGTTGCCGTGCGTTTTTTCCTTCTTTCTGGTAGCACCAAAAATTCCCTTGGGAATTAACCCGCCTCGTAGACATGTTGTCTATGGCATGTTATCTTTACGGAACCAGTCTGTTGTTGTAGTCCGTCTTGTAACTACTGCAGTGAAGACAAGCGGTGTTTCGGCTGTTGAAGTCTCCGCATACAAAGGAGTTGCGGGTATCGTTGGAAGGAGCTCATTTTCTACTGGAGGTGGCTTGCGGTTGCAAAAATGGGTACCCATAGCTTCGGAGGTGGTCGATTGGATAGCATGGGGTACTAAGGAGCATTTGCCCACTCGATCGCCACTGTCTACTGGAGCTATGTTTACGTGGGAAGACTGGTTTGTGTCTAGGCGCTCTGAGCATGCAAACTTTCGTTAATATGCGGAAATTTGTATTGTTAAACTTTACTCCCTCGCATCGCATTATAAAAGAGGTTTTCCTCTATCAAATGAATAGAATCTCTTAATGGGTAAAGTCGAATAATATATGCACTTTTCCTCTGAAAAGCGGGCAACTCAGGTGAAAATGTCGTATTTCCTATGGAGGTCACGGCACATCATTTTCGTCTATTTTTGAGGGTGCAAGTTTACTTCTTCGAACGTGTGAACCCGGTCGCATACAATTACCTCGCACAGATTCTGAAAGAGAACATAAGCTTTCCTTTCATGTAACAATCGTTTTGATTGGTAAAGAAGAACCAGGGGTACTTTTCTTGTCAAATCAGACATCGCTTTTGTTCTGAGGATTGACCTGCTGTTTATGTATAGTCCGGTCTACGCAGTGGGGCTGTGCAGGTCGCCGGGTCAATGCACCCTGTGTGTGACCGCAGAGCATGCAGGGCTTCGATTTTCTGCACATATGGGTGGTAAAAGTTCTCCATAATGCTGAGATTTCAAAAGACTGCCGAATGTTGGATATTTTGGTGCCTTGTTTGACCTTGGAGGCGATACCATGTTTTGTGTGTTGTATACTAGTAAAGCAGATCAGATGAAAGCCTTCGATGAGTAGTTGTTGATCTTCTGTTTCGCAGTGTGTTTCTTGGATGCAGATAATGTTAACACCGTTCTCTTAGTGCCTTGCGTCTACATACGTGGACGTTACTATTATCATCATTTCAACATACATGCCTATCTGAGAATACTGCAATTTGTCATACCTCTGTCTTTATACTGTATTTTCATTGGCCCAGGACGATCACCTGACCGGGCGATAAATATGCATGGCACACTCCCGTTGTATATCACATTGTGATATCACATGCACGTAGACTAGTCCCCGCCCCACAGTCCAAACCATTATGCGCGGACCGCGTTTAAACCAGACTATACTTGTACTCACTGGTACCCCGCAGTACTTTCACGTTCCACAATATAACGTATAGCAGTGAGGGAGCAGTGCATTTGCAGACGATATTTACTTTAAATTGGCGGCCAGCGACGAGCGGCGGCATTAAGATTATGTTTACGTTTTGACTGACTCTAGTAACGGTGCCTAGGCCTTCAGAACTTCGGAAATCATGCAGAGCTGACACAGTTAGTTTTTTCGTATACGATCCTTATCAGCCTCAACATGTCAGCTGAGCCCGGAGGCACAGATTCTCCGCCCCCAAAAAGGTTTTTGAGCCGCTCCAAATTAAACAACAAATAAAAGATTTAGCTTTTGAACAAGACTCATCGAACACCAAACGTTGTACCGACTACGCAGTCCGCGTAGTTCCTTCAGCTCCTTCAGATTGCCACCCTTAATTTCCCTTAGAAAAACAAGTAAAACACATCATCAAGACAGAGGTATGACAAAACAGTTGTTGACTGATGTGATGTGGGATATGACGTTTTGAACACCCTCGGGGACGCATAGCACCCTCGGCTTCGCCTCGGGCGCTATGCGTCCCTCGGGTGTTCAAAACGTCATATCCCACATCACATCAGTCAACAACTGTTAAGTATTGCATAGTGATCTCTGTACCCCAAAGTGATCATTTGTGACCATAACTATCAAAATGTGGACAATTGAGGGGGCTATATATACAACTCATCAAAATGGCAGCCTCCACTAGTAAAGTTTCGTGGTGAGTTTCTTAAGATTTTGTTTTAGAAATTCTTCTTTCTCTAAGTAATGGTCAGTTGGTGGCCAATTTATGTTGATGTAGTGATTCAGGAATGTAAGGGGACACTTTACTTTGTAAAATATCATATATTTTTATGTGATTTATATCGTCCACTTTTGTGGACACGGGGCACTATAGGGCGCCTATCAACATATTATGTGGACGTCGGGCATTGTGGCACTGTAATTTGTGTGCACCTACATGTACTTCTATAAATGTTATATCAACAACAGTGACAATCTCGAAAATACTTATATTCTTGTTTTGTTTTGTACTTTCCTTAGTGTTCATCACTAATTGTTGTATGTTGATAGTTATTTTTCATTTGTCTATTTAACAGTATTTTAAAACGCATGTCGGATGAGAGCGAATTCATGAGGAATATAGTGTATAACGCAACTGTAAATGCCAGATAGACGACATGTATGCCTGCTCAGAATTTTACATTATTTCCACATTCTATTCTTGCCATTTTCTGCAATTATTGCCAGAATGCTTGTCACTAACCATCTTAATGAATAAATGTTGCAACTGAAGTTGAATTTTACACCAGACACGTGTCCACAGCGCAGTTTATATCAGTCCTAATTCATGAGGAATATAGTGTATAACGCAACTGTAAATGCCTGACGTCCACATATGTGGACGTTTCGTAAATTGAAAATTAAATATGCAAATTGGCAAATGTGAATATTTCTCCAATTAGTGAGCCTATAGTGAGACACACAGCCAGTAGTATCAATTTTAGTAGCCAGCAAGTACTCTCAGGCACTAAAGGGCTAGCAAAACGTTGAATCAGGTCTCGTTTCGGGCGAGTAAGGCCTTTCAAGTTTACGTTGAATCGGAGTACCCAGGTACCAGTCTAAGGGGTTTTTCGAAACTTTTGCTTCGGCTTCGGCTTCGCCTCCTACTTCTAAATCACTGAGAGGCAAACTAAACGAAATTATTCCAATTTTTGTCTTCATATATCAACCGATTGAATGTTCCTGAAGCATAACAGGCACCAAAATGTAGCTGGAGTCCCCGAAGTCGGGGGCCTAAAATGTCATTAAGCCGAAAACGAACCAAAGCCAGTCGTTTCGAAAACGCTCATAGGCTTGACAGCTCGTCCTCATGAGGGCGCGTGCTCCAATGAACTGCGCAGGAACTCTTGTGAAGACGTAAAGCTGTATACATGTATCTGCATATATTATTGTCGGTAAAGCATCCCGGGGGAAACATGACACCAACTAATAGAGAGAAGACAATGAGAAGAAATTACAGTTTTAGAGGTGGGAGGAAAAGCCCAGAAGATATTCTGAAGAAAACCCACGGAATCAGGTAGGGACTGAAAACCCACATATTGACCCAGGCGGGATTCGAACCCGGGCCACAGCGGTGGAAGGCGAGGAAAGTACTGCTACGCCAACCTGACTCCCTTAAGTCTTGAGATGTAATGGCGAACAAATCACGATAATAACGACTTCAGGGTGTTGCTCCAGTTTGACTTAATACGTCATAGCAGGATCGCCAACGGGAAGGTAGCAACATTATGATCCCAGAATGTATTGAATAGTCACATGCTTTAACCTCTTCGATGGTAACACTTATGGTGGGACTAATACAATTCTTAAAGTCTGTGTTTTACGAACTCCAATTAGAAAGAGAGAGACAGAGATTGCCCTTTATTTTGTTGATTATGCCAGCGATTGTGCAATATTATTATAATCTTTGAATTTCCTTTTTTTATTGTACAGATTATTATCTTGACCTTTGCTCAAACGTAACGATCATTGTTTATTTTAAAGGCTTTTTGCAGAAACCATCGATAGAGGCCAGACACCGAGAGTGCACACACAGCAGTCTATTCGCACCATGTTAAAAACTGTGCAAAGAAATTTGTTATGAATAATTTTTTTGTGCAACATCAGTGTGCGACATCAGAAACTCATGGTAAGAAGCACTTTGAAATGCTGGATTTCCTTTTTTGGCAAAACGATAAGAAATTCATGTGGTGGATTGGTTGGATGTGTGGAACTACCAAACAACGGACTGACTGCCTGGAGTTTACTGCTCTGATGAGTACATGCAGTATATATACCCTGGTGAGGTTTCTTCTTAGTTCCCTGATTAAACGATCCAATGACGTCTCTTAATAGATCATTGGTTGATACAAACGACACAATCAAAAATAGAACACGACACAGTAAATTGCCCTGCCCGGCCCTCGTCCAATCGTGTATTACTAAATTATGCCTACTTGACTTTCAACGCTGTTATATGTCTGCTTTGCTTGGCATCTATACCTAAGTTATTCGTCAGATAATTCGTCACCGTTTTCACGAAGAGCCACATATCTCCAAAATTACAATTTTTTTCGATTTTGATTTTTTTCGATATTTCGCATTAAAACAATGTACTTAACCATTTTGACATGTGTCTGTAAGCAAAACATCATTAATTTCTAAGTTACATTAATGTTGCAAGGGGCAAAAATCTCGATAACTGCATTTTGCGTTTTCACGAAGAGCCACATACATTTTGGCCCTTTGAACGCGTGCAAAACCCATTGCACGGAAATACGTAAAAGTAGGTCAAATGAGATTTGCGTTTTCACGAAGAGCCACATATCTTTGTTACATTTTCAGGCGCGCGCGCGTACTCACGCGCGCCTATGGAAATACACGTTGAACAGAAAGGGCCAATATGTCGGAAACGTGAATTTGCGTTTTCACAAAGAGCCACATATCTTTACTAATTAATTTCTACTAATTAACTGCTTTATTAAGTCTTATTACCGGGTTTATGTAAAACTTCAGCTCACGTAGAATCGTGTGATGGTTTTCTTGCTGCACAAAGTTGTTGCAAAGTAGTATTTCTTGCAGTTTTAAAATATAAGAAACTTCTTTTGTGATTATCTCGAAAACACTTTACTTCAAAATCAACATAATATATATAGTATGTGGCTGTTCGTGAAAACGGTGACGAATTGTCGGAATCTTTTGGTCTGGGAACAACACTAAGCTTTCCCAAGAATTCATCGGTTTCAGGAAGTGACACATTTTTTAAACAGGAAGGACTAAAGACCGCAATGAAACGCGACAAATTCTGAGCCCGGTATAGCCGACATGGTGTGCCCATCATTATCAGAGTCATGTTGCGGATGGTGGCGCCGGGTCGTGTCATTCGCGACTTTCGGTCAGTTTTTCCTAACCCCTGTTCAACTTCAGTATATACCATTCCAGAGTCATTTTCTTTCTATTCTCTAGACGGACGTCTGAGAACATCGAGGAGAAGCGACGGTGAAGGCTCCGCATTCTGAGGCTGCATTGTACGGCCGATATGGTGTGCCCATCAGGGTCCCGTTGCGGATGGTGGCGTTGGGTCGTCACATTCGCGACTTTCGGTCAGTTTTTCTTCACTCTTGGACCCCTGTTCAACTTCAGCATACTGTTTGTGAGTCTGCAGGAGGATTTCCATTCCAGCTCGGCGTTGACAGGTTAGTACGGAAATATGATCCAGCGAGATGAGAACTTGATTTGGGTATGCCTGATGCAGGCTAGACCGGGCCATTCGTGGATCGCGTTGCCAAGTAGCGTTTGGAAACTAAGAGCCGCCATAAAAAAAGGACCGCAGACCTGAAGCGGTGAATCAAGGTTTGCAAGACAGAGTGATGACGTTATTAAGGGATCTTAGTGAGAAAAAAAAATGGGGGGGGGGGGGAGGGGGCAATATACTATATTGGTCAGTCGGAGGGGCCTGATTATTCGGATTTCACGATTCCATAGACTATAGACAGGGGAAGAATAGCATCGATTTAAAAACAGGCTTCTCTTCTATAGTTGTTTAATGCCTACTAAAAGAATATTTGTTCAGGTAAAAAAGAAACCTCAGGGTAATTTTATAATCCCCATTTCGCTTTCAGGTTGGCTAGGGTCTCTGTCAATTGCACTGACTTGTCTTGCTAGTCCTCTCTGCTCTCTCCTTACACACAAACTGAGCAGTCAAACCGTCGCCATTTTGGGAGTGATTACCTTCTGCGCAGGACTGTTGACGACGTCATTCGTTCCCGTGCCAACGCTGGGATACGCGTTCTTCACGTTTTCGATCTTGACGGGCGTGGGCGCCAACCTGGCCACGAATGCCTCCTTGGCCCTGCTGCTGGACTGGTTTGCCAAGGCGAACTTCTCGCGGGCAAGCGCCCTCGCTCTAATGGGATCCACAGCCGGTAAATGCGATGATAGTTTCCCACAACTATGTAAACATACACAGATTTTCCTTGTCTTCTATAGAACGAATCCAATTTCTAGCGATGAGAGTGTGTAAGAGTCGGAAAAGACACACGTTGATGATTGTTTGACTCGTTCAAATAATGCACTAGTATATTCTAGTCTACTAGACTAATTTATACTTCATTTTAATGGCAATTTTCTTTGTTAATCTTTCTGATATGCAGGCATGCTTGCCTTTAGCCCTTTGTTGACAGCCTTAATAACTCACTACGGATGGCGTAATGCGCTGAGAATTCTCAGCGGTGGAATACTCGTGATCGGGATAGCTGACGGTCTGCTGCTAGCTGACCCACCATCAACCGAGGACTACGCTAGGGCGCCCGATGAGTCTCCTGGTGATGAGAAACTTGAATTGGAGAGCATGGTCCCGGGGAAGCAGGTTCATGATGACGGCTGCATTGAAGAGACTGACGATGATGCACGAGAAACTGACGATAAAATTACCAACAACGAGGAAGCGAACAATTCAAATCAAGCATCGCTCGAAGTTGGAGATGAGAGACATTTTCTCGGAAGGCTGATTAGTGCTTTAACGAACCCTGAGGCTTGGGCGTGGTACTGTGCTGTAATGTTCTCATACGTGGGCTGGACTTTCTTCAACATTAATTACGTACGTTTCCCACAATTTGTGGTTTACCTGTATCAGCAAAGCAAATTAGGCCTATGTATTTTGACTGCTTTCGTTTGACCAGGCATGGTGGAGCAAAATTTACCTCACATGGCTAAATTAAAGTTGATAGGTCTTTGTGAACATACCTGCATTACTGTGGTCCTTTGACGGTCGACAACATTTATATCACATTTTCATAAATCGACTTAGATAGTAAATGCCATTGCAATGCACCAGTTTATCGTATGAGAAATGCCGATTATTAGAATATAAAAGGCAAGTGCAAGTAACAATTGTAAGTTTGGTACAATAGGCTCCATAATGCAGCATGGACTGATGTTAGACTGAATATAACTTGCTTTGGTTCTTGCAGGCTAGTTTTATGGACGGACTTGGTCTGGACAGCAACAGCATTGCCTCCGTCATCGTATACTTTGCTTTGGGGGAACTTGGCGGGAAGGTCCTGATAGCCGTAATTGGAGATCGTCTGCCTTTCTTGTATCTTTATCTATTGATGGCCTCATGTCTCCTGGGAACCGTCGTTCTGGGGTTTCTGACCATTGCCAAGACGTTTGCTGTCATGGTTCTCCTTGCAGTAGGTAAGGCATTGCATATAATTCTGATCTCTTATCTTTCGAGGTCCGTTTATGTGCAGAACTGACCTGGTCCATCGAGTACACGAGCCATTGGAGACACACTCTTAAACGTCTCGGGTGCAATTATGTACTTTGTCTGCAACGAAGTATAGTACTAGTCAATGACCATAATGCGAATGCATCACTTGGTATAGCGAAATAAAAAAAATTCTCCAGACCCACGAATCAGAAAAAAGTAACATTTCATCGATCAGTTATACAACATGTACTAGAAGTCTAGAACTCATTTACGGGTGAACCAGGTCTTTTGGCTTAACAGGCGTCGTCTGGTTTTACCCTGTTAAACTATTCGGAACCCCGTTCTCGAGTGACTCGTGAACAGCGTTGTTTTCAGGTTCCCGATTACGAAATGTGGAGTGCAACTATGCGAAATTTCAAGATGGCAGCCGCCATATTAAAACGCCGAATGAGAGTGATGGGAAAGTAATGATCTTATGAAAATTATTTAAATCTGGGACAGCTTTAAAAATTGGCAAAGACAAACCCACTCATTGATCACGAACAATTTTTTTGTATCATCTGCACATGCTGCTCCTGCATTGAATGAGTGCTTTGAATCTTATGCATACAAAATTAACGCAAGTTGCGATAGGGGCCTAAGCTCCACTTTTGTTCTTAACGTTCTTCGTCTACTACCCGATAAGTCATGGGGAGTGAAAATCATTCAAAACCCATTCGAAAGCCGTTCTCGTGTTCATTAGACACAAGAACTGGGTTTCGAATACGCCCTATCTGCAAGGGCGGATCCAGAACACAATTTTTTTGGGGGGGGGCAAAATTGTTTTGGTCCCAAACAAATTACGGCGTGGGGTTCGATAGTTTTTTATTCCAGCCAGTGCTCTGTGGTGCGATCTGAGGCAATTTCTGCCCACCGTGACCTATTTTTTTCGGAGGAAAAGAGGGTGGTGTACCCAGTGCCTGCCTTTATTGCGTCGGCACTAAAAAAAAATGGGTTCGTTTTTTTTTTTTTTGGGGGGGGGGGGGGGGGAAGGCAATGACCCCATTGGCCCCCCAGATCCGCTTTTGCCCATCTGTAAAAGGTTTACTGTACCTGTATAAAGTTTGCGTCAGGGTATAGAAGTTTTGAATGCTGACGCTATGCATGAGCGCATAAAGTTAGCTCAGAGTAGAATCAGAGCCATGAAATTGGTCATGTAACTTGCAGGCGTGCAGAGAAAGCGTCAAAATATGCTAAGACAAAAAGCAGTTTGTCATGCAATATTATATTGCCTCTCAGAGAATTCTTGTTTAGCATATCAATTTTGCTAAGTTATTATATATATTTTTATTGTTTTAGTTTCTGGATTTCTACGATCGGGCATCAACGCAACACTTTTCGTCAGCGCAGCAGAACTTTTCCACGAGCAGTACGGGACCAAAGGGGTCATGGTTATATCGTTTGTTCCAAATGGAGTGGGCAGTCTCATCAGTGCACCCTTAGCAGGTTAACTTAATCATCTTTAATTTCACACTATGGATAATGTGTACATAGTACCACCTCACTCGGTTTCAAAGCTATCAAAGAGAGTTGGAACGTATGCCGTCTGCACGCTTGGTGCTCATGTGAAGACGTTCTCATTTAGAACAGTGGTGGATCAACGGGGTATTGATGGGAGGGGGGTGTCAGGGGTCTTATCCCCCCCCCAGTTTTGAGCCGAAACAATAGGAAAATAAAGCAGGAAAAAAAGCAACACACGTCTGCTAAACTACCCCTTAAAGCTAACCCCGCCCCCAGCCAAACTTTAAGCTGGACCCGCACCTGTAAAATCAAACAAGCCATGCGAAATTCGCGGCATTCGCTTAAAAAAGTGCTAATTTGTTGAAGTTCACCATCAATATTTTGTGTTCCTTCTAGAAAAGAAGGGATCAGTTGCCTTGAAACCTGCACTATACAAGTCCTTGTTTGCAATTGCAATTTGAAACTGAATAAGATCATTTTTTTGTACTCGTTTCTTGTTACTAGGTGCACTGTATGACGCCACGGGTGACTACGTCCTCAGTCTTCTTGTCATTGCTGCGATGTTCCTTTGCGCCGCCGCGGCCTGTTTATTCATACCACTACGGAGGAGATTTCGTCGACGTGCTGCACACAGATCAAGCCCACCCTCTGCAAACGTTACAAGCATATAAAGTCATAGCGTCGTCAAATCATATAGGTCCGGCAGGATACTGAACTGGAAAATGATGTGACAATCACAGAAGTGGACCTCATCAGATGACGATACCTAAAATAGATCTTGGCCATATTCCAAGATGGACACTACCTAACTAAATGAATAATGCACATTATGTGCATTATTCATTATAAGGCCCGAATCATAACAGTAGCCCTTTGATATAATCCAGCAGACGTTTTTTTTACAGGGTTGCAGATGACGAACATACAGTGCGAGTAAAAAAAAACCACTATACACTTGTAAAATTGGCCATAGTTTTATTCTGTAGCAATAAAGATAAGATATTTTCATATGTACTTTTAGAGTAACTCTTCCTGCTTCTTTTGGTGACATTTTCACTGGATTAATTTTTCATGCATGACTGCACAGGAGACAATTAAAGGGGTCGGGTGAAATCTGACTTGTCTCCTGTGCAGTCATGCATGAAAACTAATCCATTGAAAATGTCACCAAAAGAAGCAGGAAGCGTTACTCTAAAAGTACATATGAAAATATCTTGTCTATATTACTACAGAGAAAAAATATGGCCAATATTTTTTACTCGCACTGTATTGGAAACAGAAATTTGCTAGGAGAAAAACTATGTTCAAGAGCACATACGAGGAGAGCAACTTTCAATATAAAGAAGTAAACACATCGGTACGATACTTTTTTAGTTTGCTGCAATCGTCAACAGCAAAGGCAAGGGCCACTGAAGTTGACAACTACAAACAAGAAGTAAAGTATTAATTTAAAGAGACAGAAATCAGTTGATATTTTGATTGAACTGTGATAAGTTATGAGAAGCACGCTCTTTCCGTACGAGGAAAGACGCTTGTAGATATACTTCAGTAGAAAAAACGGTACTAAACAATTGTTGACTGCTGTGATGTGGGATAGGCCTATGCCGTTTTAGCATCCGATGGGCGCATAGCACCCGAAAAGGAAACCGCGCTTAGGCTCAGTCCGTGCCGTACTGTTATAGATACAAAGTCATGTAGTCTCATTCATAAAGGTTAAAGTTCTCGGGATTTATATTACGTTTTTGTTAAAAATAAAGATTTTTCAGGACGAAACAGCATACAAATGCGCGTGAGTGTATGGGTTACTTATAGTGTATAAAACCAAGTTGTGATATATACCACAGCCTTAAAGCAGGTTACATTATTACCCCAAACTGCTGTGGTATGCAGCAAGCAATATAATGCCATCGTATAGGTCATCGGTCCCATTTTATAAAACACGCAACTTTTAACGTGAAGACATGAGTCAGATTCTCTTTCAACAATTAGGGGGGGGGGGGCCGCGCTATCAACAATTCTCGATAATTGTTATTCATTAATCAAAACAGAACAGTTCAAAATGATATTGTCAGGTCTCAATTGCTGAGTTCAGTATTGACGGCAACCATCAGACCAATACGTTACATCCCAGCTTAGGTTACAGAAAGTTCAAAAGCAAGGAAATACATATAACCGATTTGTGGAAAACTGATTTGTGGAAAACTCACTGGGATCCGGTGGTTTTTCTAAAAAATAAAAAAAGGCTTAAAAGCTGAACCCTGCATGGCTGTTACTGAATACTTCTGTATTCAGTATTCATATTCCGAGAAACCAAATACAAATTGAGTTACAGACAGCACTGGTAATTAGGCCTACCATCCGTTCTAAAACTCGAGAAGAATATTCCTATTATACTCATTGAAACCCTTTGCATGAAACAGGTCAAAATTAAAGCTTCCTCCCACTCCATGATGACTGTTGGGTTCACTTTCATTTAAACATCCACAGAAATTAATGCATTTTCACAGTACAGAAAACGGTAAAGTATTGGCCCACTTGCCTTCGACCGGCAATTCTCTCTTGATAAAGAGTTTTGTGGCTCCTGAAATTGAGGATTTGTAGTACAGAAATGGGAAGTATATCCAGCTGGCTTGGGTGAAATTTGGCAAACTCTAATCCCGTGATGAAGAGCTCCCACAACGCTGGAAAACAAAACCAAACAACTGAGAGATCTTTAATCAGTGTAATTGTTCCGGTGCTCTCTTACGGTGCTGAAACTTGGTCAGCAACCAAGAGACTGGAGAAAGACCTACATAATATATGAGTCACAGACAGAGAGCAATGGACAGAATCTGGATTGGTGTTACAAGAAAGGACATGCAGAGTTAGCAACCAAGACCTGAAGCAGAAAACAAAAGATATAATACAAGGAATTAAATTAAAGAAGTGGAGGTGGGCTGGTTATCTATCTAGAAGACAGGTGGACCCATAAGCTGCAGCTGACAGACTGCACACTTGCGCATATCAGGCAGACTAAACAGAAGGTGGATAGATGTCATCAGAGAATAATGCGTTACATGGAAGGGGCCTGAGAACAGCACAGGACAGAATATTGATGAAGGGGTCTTCCTTCTGCATGCAGTGGAGTGAAATAGGCTGGAAAGAAAGGTAAGGCCAAAAAAAAAGTCTCCGGTTTCTGGTATGGAGCTTGCCCCAAAAATGGTGCGGCGACGCGGCTTTTTTTTTTTTTTACCTGGTTTTTTTTTGGGGGGGGGGGCTGTCCAGAGAGGGAGTCCAGAGAGGCCACATAAAGATTATTCTCGATCATAACCCCATCTAAAAACACGTTAAAATTGTGCAGCAGCAGGATTCCAGTCAAACCAGTGAGTTTGGCGGTTTTGAGACATCATCTTGTATTGAAAAAAAACTTTTTCATTTTGCCGACGCGCATGGCTACGGCGACGCGCGCGCATACCAGAAACCGGAGACTTTTTTTTTGGCCTAACAAAGGGTCAGTAATACCGGTCTTTGAACTACTTGGCAATGGACCCGAAGGACGCTCACTTCATTTTTGCAGTGATTGTAATGGTCGGCGATGGGCTTTCGGGAGTACTATAGTCGGGATTACTTTGAAGGCCGGATGATGATCATCTTAAATTGGAGGGGAACAAATCAGCCAAAAATCATCGGCAACCCAAAATTGGAATAGAAGGTGAACGAGGGTAAATCAAGTTACTTGGTGTATTTCTGGAAGTTCTTTTAAGAATTCAGAGTATCATTTTTCCCCCGATTGCTTTTGAAGAGATTTATGTCTATGGGAAGTTGACTCAGTGGTTTGCACATGTTGTGGTCGTGAAAAACCGAATGAGGGCGCGACGTCGGGCTGTCATGGCTGTGAGAATGGTACACAGTACGTATTTACTGTATACGCCTACAGGTTGGCATTATTACTTCCTGCTTCCCGATCGGTAAGTCATCAGATCGGATTGTAAACAGGTAAGAAATTGATCTCTGAATTTCGTACTATACCGTGTATTTGTTTTCTAGCTTTTTAAGGAGAGAGTTTACATTGGCGAACTTTTGTACTATTGTAGAACTAGAAAGTGACTGATCAATGATCAAACCAACAAACCTCATGTAGAACACGTGGTCATTGTGCAGTGATACTGGTACGTACGGTAGGCTATACTGTACAGCGTACTGAGAAAAGTTGCGTTCAACATGGTTCCTCCATGGGTCGACGAAGGCCCAACAACTGTACACTACAGTTTGTGTATACACATGTTGAGTGTAAATGGGCATGCGCACATTATGCTACGTGGGTGTTTGGGGGCATGGGGGGGGGGGGGGGGGGGGGGGGGGGGCAGGAGCTTGAAAACATTTATTTTATATTTGCACACCATTTGGTGTGTCACCATTCACTGTCAGCACATCAGACTCACTTCGGAACCATTGAGTTTCAAGAACACATGAGGTCTAAGTTAATGTAAAATTATTTTGTATGTATTGTCGGTGCTCATCACATGATGCCTATATGTATACCAGCTATTTTCTCAAAATTTTACTAAGGCCTGACACCAGAAAGTTGTATGGATCTGTGATAAGTTCAATTGCAGGTTTAAGCCTTTAGTCTAGAGCCATATTTGTGGGAAAGAATGTTGCAACCTGACACTGCTTTTTTTTTTATATATCATCTAAATCTCAATGAAGGTCAGTTGCAAAATGATGATAAATCTGGGACTGAGAAACATTTCCAATTTTGCTAGGAAATACTTGGAGAAACTTTTCTTGAGTCTCCATAGGCTTTCCATGGCAAACTCTTGGTTGCAACATTCATTCCTATTTGCCTTTTCATAACTGTTTATGTTTGGAATATCCAGCTAAAATACCTTCACTCCGTTTGTATTCTTTTAAGAATAGGGAGTTGTAAAAGGTCACAGTGGGACTTTGACATGCAGAAAAACCTGTAAAACAGTGGAATCGGACCAACTTTATACTCACTCTTTAGCCAACCAAATTCTCCAATATTTTCATGAGTCAAAGACAAGGCAGTATTTCACCAGCCAAGTTTGAGGTCTCAATTCAATTTTTAAAGGAGACTTTTTTAAAGACATTTTGCACATGAAAGTGAAGTCAGGTGATTTCAATTTGAAGCCTAAGACTAGACCGGTACATGTCCAACAAGATTGACCCGTCAGTAGTCATGGTGGCATGACTATGGAAATGTGTAGAAATAGAGGCCTGTACCAGATGTTTCTTTTGACACAGTTGACTGATGCAGCTACATGTAGTACTAAAGATTGGTTGTTTCATGTGCCAGTCTATTTTCTTGTATTGCATGTTTTTACAATCTTTAGTTTCGGGACACTCATAGTCATATATACACAGGATATATTCGAGAGTCCCAAATTATTCCGACTAAAGGGTAAGAAACTGTCGAATTCAGATTTCTCACTTAATTTCATTTTATGTATCTCAAAAATAGATGGACTTCAACGGGTCAATCGGTTAGATGGCATCATCTAGCTTGATCATCTGGCTGTACTGGTCTTGTATTGTGCTCATGTTGCCATGGCAACCCGCATCCGTTCTGGCTCCAACCACTACCTCTTACAACTGCACACTTTGTAAGTTAGCACGCAGCAATAAATGGAATTAAATATCAGAATTGGAAAATATTAATGTACATAGTGAAAAAAAAGTAATCATAACTGATCATCACAACTTTAACACAAAAGATACATGTTATCACTGTAGCGGGGGGGGGGGGGGGGGGGGGGGGGGGGGGGGGGGGGGGGGGAGTAACGTGCCTTCCCCCAAAAGAATCCCAGTGCCACCCCCCCCCCAAGGTACTGGTACGTGCCCCTTCTCCCACAAAAAAAACCCAAAATTTAAAGTATCTTTTTGAGATCTATACTTGTATTACACAGAAGAAGAATGTAATGACTATTTTTTTAAATTGATTCTAATCCCCTTAACTCCCTTAACCCTATGGCTTTATGAAACTGAAATGAATTGGTTTAAAAAAAAAAGCACGTCTGGCGTCACATGAGGCCCCCCCCCAGTCGGTGCCCTGAAATTCGGGAATATTTTTGATGCAGGACTGCCCTTGGTGCCCAAGCCCTTGGTGTCCCCCCCCCCCCCCAAATATTCTGGCTACGTCACTGTGGTGAAGACATACCCGCATTACAATATACAAATTCATCCTAATTATGTGAAGTTTGATTCTTGTCAATCCCAAATTTTTTCTGTAAGTACACTGGTCCCTCAGTATGAAACCAGGCTTAAAAAAAAATTTGGGATTTTGCTTGGTGGGGGGGGGGGGGGGGGGGGGGAGGGGAGAAGCAACTTAGCAGATTAAGCAAACAGCTGTGAACACCTCATCTCCTGACGCAGTCCCATGCATATTCCCTGTTTAATTGTTTGTTTTAATGTTTTTGGTGTTATCTTTATTACTTTTCAACTGAGGGGGGGGGGGGGGGCCTGGCACCATGCCCCCCTTCCCATTAAAATACTCCACTGCTTGTGTTCTACTTGTGACTGACCCATGATTAACCTAAAATTGACACAGTGACAAATCTTTTACATGCAGTGACCCTGGAGGCTGACCCCAAGGTCGCCCAAGCAGGCAGCACTGTTCGTCTCAACTGCAGCCTTGGCTCGCAATCAGACCTGCAAAGAAGGCCCTACATGTACAATGCCAGCAACGTGCAGTGGTTTCACAATGGCAGCAGCCTGATGCCGGGGGTCCGGATCCAGACCGTGGAAGCTGCAGGCACTTCACAACTGATTTTGAATGGAGTGGGGATTGAGCATGGCGGAAGGTACAGCTGCTGTCTCAATGCATCCTGCGCCGAAGAAGCTTGCTTTGCCAGCCTAGACATCCTCGTAGGCTGTAAGTAAATGGTTAGCAGTGTTCTCCAACTTTGAAATTAAAGGTCGGTGCGCTGTCAAAAAGCGGAGGGGGGGGGGCACTATAATTATGTTAGGGGCGCTATTTGCAGTCATACATTTCTTTATGCTAGGGGGCGCTATTTGCAGATGAACATGTACATTATGTACGGATAACAGCTTTTAGGCCATTTCTAACACAGTAACAGATACAAATAACAAATAAGTACAATACCGGCTCAGCATCATCTTTTTTAACACATCATTGACCAGGGACTCTGAGGCAGTTTGGCCTTGAAACATTTGATTGCTACAATGGACAGGCTTGTCAGTTTGACAAGTGTTGCATGTTTCTGCTTTTGGCAGAGTTTCTGGCCAAAATGTACCCTGGAGGGTAAGGGTAGTCCCAATTGTTTTTCTTTTTTATTACTTTTTCCTTTTTTTTTAAGCGTGGCGGGCAACTTTTTAAGCTTGGCGGGTGCCTCAGAAAGCTTGGCGGGGCACCAGGTTATATTAACAGGTTGGAGAACACTCCAACCGCCTTCTAGTTGGTAACCCCCCCCCCCCCCACCCTGAAAACAGAACTCTTTCAAAATCAAAAAGTTGGTGGTTTAAAGCTACAGTCCATCATTTGCAGCTATCCAAAAAGTAACTGACGTAAAAATTGTTGAAAAAAATACTTGGTTGAAAGAAGGTAAGGGGACTAAACTCCCCGGCAAGCTTTCATTTTGAAGAAATCAACGAAAAAAGCCCTTTCCAATGGTGCGTCTAAACCGTTGGAAATTTCTTTTAGCAGGCCTATAGTTCGCTTTTTTTTTGTTCGGCAAAGCACGCGCAAGCGTTGGCACGATGCACACAGGCGCGCAGTTGCTATAATTCGTTGGATCGGTGCGGGACATCGCGTAACTGCACTCGGCTCAGTGAGAACATGTCTCGGACGCTGAATTCAGGCCCAATTCAAAACATGATTCAGCAACTTTTGATTTGAAATCGAGATCCTAGAATGCTAATTTTCTTGGAATATACAGCTGGAGCTGAGCTAAAAGTTCATCAGGTCAGTTGTTCAGCACCCTTCTCTAGATTTTGAGTACGTTTGTTGCTTCAAGCGAACAAAATGCATGAATTACAAATGATGGACTGATAAACAAAAACAGTGAAAAAGTTACTTGTAGTACAAGCCAACTAAAAAAAAAAAAACCCTGGAGGAAACCATGTGGAAACATATGTTCCATAATGAAGGAAGATCCTGTGTTTCTTTTTCTGTGTGTTTTTCACATTGTTTATGTAAAACTTACAAGAACGTTAATTAATGGAACTGAAGAGTTTAACCAGAGGTGAAGAATTCATATGAAACTAGCACAAATAATAAGAAAAGTATAAATAAAAAGAAATGCAAAATTAGAAGATGGTTAATGACTTTAGTGCCAATATAAAGTGAGTAAGAAACAGAAACAGGGATATGAATCCCAGAGTTTTGATCGGTGTTGACCAGGCATTGATTTCGTGATGCAGGGCCGCCGGAGAAAGCGAAAGATTTGCGATGCACAAGCAACGATCTCAAAATTGCAAACTGCACGTGGACGAGGGGTGGACAGCACAGTAACCTCCCAAGCAAAGATGTCCTTAAACGCAAAGCAAGGTAATAAGGCCCCCCAAAAATTAAAATGGTTGTGTTACCCTCACATGAAAAGTCATATCGGGAGGGTCGGTCGGTCGGGGATTACCCCCCCCCCCCCCCCCCCAGCCTCTGCATTTTACCAACGTACTCGAAACATTTAGGCTACATGTACTGCATGCGCCAACTACACATGCATGCAATACAATTGACAGTACAGTTTTTGCCATTAACCCTAACAGAACTCAACCCATCAAACCCCAACAGCATGATTTGTTGGAATCTGTCAGGATGGGTACAGTACCCCTAATCTGACAGTCTTTTACATTGGGTTGGCACACCTCCAGAAACTAAGTCAGAAATATGTGTGTGCAGTTTCCCATATGATGTTGGAATTTGCCAGGATGGGTGTGGTTCCTAGTAAATCATGCTAGGGAGTTTGGGTTAAGGCCAAAAAAAAAAATATTCGGTCTCTGGTCAGACCAAAGTTCCGGAATTGACGCGGCGACGCGGCTTTTTTTTTTTTTTTTCAAGCTTGGATTGTACAGACAAGGTGGGGTACTATTTTGCTTTTTTGGTGTCCTCATGTACATTGGTGTCCTTCATTATTTGCCTTGGTGCTCTCGATTATTTGCCTTGGTGCAATTTCCCATTCCTTGGTGCTCTTTGGTAAAAAAAATTGAGGAGGTGCGGCAATAGAGGGCGCTGTTGGAGCTACCGCGGAACATTTTGGAAAGAAAAAGATTGACGCGCGTGATTAAAATCGATGCGCGCGCTGACCAGAGACCGACTTATTTTTTTTTTTGGCCTAACGATGGATTTGCCCCTTTGTTTTCCAGTAGAAAAGAGTGGCAGCTGTGCAATGATGAGGCAGATGCCGTCTGCACGGCCACATCCTGTCATTTGTGCTGCTCTGAAGCCAATATGTGGCACACGTATCGTGTGGAATCCTCCAATGTGCTTGCTACCGTCTACTCCAATGAAACCATCTTTAATCTCGACACTGAAAGTAAGTACTGCTCCTAGAATTGAAGAATTGTGCGTGAATGAGTATCCAGAGCATGATTTTGAATGCTTGTGTTATTTTGAATGATAGATTCACGAAGCGTTTTCATACAACATGCACATACATGTCAGAAATTGAAACTAAATTAATTTTTGGAATTTGTTTTCTTATGTGATGTATTACAAATGATTATTGTTCACTAAAGTAGTAAAGTGTTGCTAGTAAGTAAAGATGCAAAGTTCTTAAGATGTGTCATAAGTTGGTCTTTCCTTGCATAAGTTAGCATAAGTTTAAGTACAAAATGTCACACACGTGACCGTTCAAAATGTCACACACGTGACCGAACAAAATGTCACACACGTAACCACAGCACAATTTCCATTTAGTAAAAGTAAAACAGGCTGTGAATGCATTCTGTAAATCACAAAAGACTATAGTCTTACATCAAAATAAGTATTGGTGTTCGAGTCCTTAGAACTTTGGAAAAAGTGTGAATGTCCAGTATGGGCTGGACAACATATTTATGTCTGATGTCACGCACGTGACCAAACTTTGATGTCCACTCCAAATATTTGGACACTGTTTGTGAAAGTAGAAACTATACTCTGAGGAAGGGAGTAAAATTTACTAACCTGATGAATCAGTGAACATGGTGAAAGTAATATGCCAGATGTAGTTAACAAGGGGCAAAGCTTCAAAAATCAGACAAGCCCAATTTTACGTCACACAGTGACCAAAGATTAAAGAATGGCCCAGGTAAGTTGTGAAATAAATGTCCAAAATAAAGTCTGGCAACAATTATGTATTTTGGTACATTAACTTGTACAGTTCATGTATTTCTACATGTACTTCTACTCTAAAGATAAGTATATTTGTATGAAACTATAAGAAGAAAAGCATAACCAAGCTGCACTTTCTTTTCTGACAACATTAGAAACACTACATTTTGTGGCCAAACTTTAAACAAAAAGAGTATTTTGTCAACTTATAATCCTAACCAGTCTGGTTCCCCCTTAATCCCAAGGGCCTCTTTAAATTGAGTTGGCTGTTGTAAATACATAAAACTGTAGATTTTCTTTTTCAAAGCTGCTGTCACCAGATAACAAGGCCTATATGTCACATGTACTGTTCCCTTGGGTTACAATACACATCAGCAGAGTTGGCCAGCGTAATGTTTTAATGCACACAAGGTCCCAGTCTGAGAATTGCCCACTTTCACTTTGGATATTACAGCATACGTACAGTATTTAGCAACATGGCACAGTAGCCAGCTCCTTTGTAGGCCCATTGCATTACTGGTAGCAGTCTAAAATGGCTCCCATTAGCACAGGGGTTGGTGACACCGATAAGATACATGCAGTTAAAGGGGCCATTACGGACTGAAATCCCTGAATGTTTTGAACTTTATGAAACTTCCCGAAATGGAATGAACATTCTTTCTGATTGAATGAACAAGTTGCAAAATTGGAGGGGAACACCTATAGATAATAAAACATTACACATGTTTGACGTTTCAAGTATAGAATGTCTGAAAGCAAAGGAAATAACATGTGGCATGATCGATAAAATGAAAAAAAAAGGAACAAACAATCCCCTAAGATTTGGTATCAGGTGTCTGCAGCCATTTACTACGTATACCAAGCGCATCACCAGGCTCGGGCCAAGTCTAATTTCAGCTTGAGCATGAAAAAAGCGCAGTATACTGAGCTTTTTTTTTCAAAGGAATCACTACCTCTTAAAAAAATATAGAAAAATTTGAAAAATCACAGGAATATTAACATTAATAGCAACCCCATCCCCAAAAGCGCACCTTTTACAGGATGAAAATAATAATAAAAAAAGAAGGCATGTTTCAGGTTTCAAATTTGGGAAACCTAGACATGCTAGAATTTCTGAGAATATAACAGAAATATCAATTGAAATGAAAGATGACATGAAAACAAAGAGGAAAAACCAAACCCCAAATTTTGTATCGGGTGTCAGTAGTAATATTATACTGCACATGCCAATCCCAACACCAGACTCGTGCCAAGTCTAACTTCAGCTGTTTAAAAAAAAAAAAAAATCCTTTCCTCTAAAACGAAGCACAGCTTGAAAATATCATAGGGATATTAGCTTAAAATAAAAAAACAAATTTCAGAGAACAAGAGAAATACCGTGTGTATTTTGGGCTGTTTTTTTTATCACAAACAATTCCACCCAACGAATAGACTGGTTTCTTTTCTTCCACAACTAAACCGGGCTGAATTTTTGGTTGGATGTCTCATTCCAAAGTGAACAACTCCTGCATTGCTAGAAATAAAAAAGCAGTTAATTTTTTTAAAAAAATCCAACTTTGGGGGTGAAAATAGACACTTCGGACAAGTACCAGAACATCTTTAAAAGGGCCACAATCTTTTTAGTGTCAACATTGCCTTCCTCGGTCAGTCTCCCGACAATGACAAGAGCAGGCTAGTTGAAACATTGACACCAAAGACAATTTTGTTTAGAACTTAACGCAGGACTGTTCTTATCAGAACTAAAACTTCTTAGCGAAAGTTGATAATAAGCAGAACAATTTCTTATCTGAACTAAATATTTACTGAGCGACAGTAGTTATCACCACATGGTGTTACTGCAAACCAAAATGATATGATCTCTCTCAACAGCAATACCGGATCCTCCGACAGGTGTAACTGTGACCAACAGATCCTACTCCTCCCTCAACGTTCACTGGTCCACCCCCCCGGCATTGGCCCACCATCATACCGAGGAGGGGGCCCTAAACCTTATTGGCTTCTGTCTCCAATACAAGTGGGAGGGCAGTAAGACTTTCACCAAAATCAAGGTACATCTAACTATAAATCCCAGGAATCTCTGTGTGTCTGTCTGTACTTTGATTATCTTAGTAATAAGTTCAGTTAGTAATTTCATATCCCAAAATGTCACCCACCAATGTACCGGTACAAGCCTTTGTTCGTGCAAGAATTTGGTTAACTGGAAATTTTGTTAACTGGAAAAGTTCCTCAAATACTCCATTGTGAACCCTTGTTTTGTTTTTTTTATCAAACTAGAGATGATTTCAAGAAAAGTAACTGAAGCTGTAAAAGTGCGCTGAAAAATCGGACCGATCTGACTGTTCACAAGACGACCGCATAAAATCAAACATGTTTGATTTTTTTCGCATCCGATGTCACCGGATCGGATGTCATCGGAAAGGTGTGTGGGCAGCGCACCATTCCCGTGACATCGGATGCCATATTTTATGCAATATTTATGTTAACCAATCAGATTCACGAAGGAAGTCGCATGATTTAAAATTGACGGCTGCTTCTTTGCATCATGTTACTGGTCATCATGTGTCTGAACATCATGTGACCAATTATAAAACGTATTTGGGCACGTGTGCTGGTAACATTGTGGTGTAACAGCAAGAGTGAAAAAAAAATATCGGATATGTGGTCAACTGGTAAAATCAGAAATGTGTGCTGCAGGTTTTAGAAGAATTTTTGATTAAATGAAATCTGTCTCTTTGTACTTTGGCAGTTTTGTACGCCACAGAATCGCACTGAAGTAGCAATGAAATATGTGTACTTTTTTGCCCTTCCCAATCCCACCAGGCTGACTCTACGGACTACACAATAAATAACCTAACACATCCATACGGCCTGTACCAAGTCAAGGTTGGAACCTTCTTAAAACACACTGAAAAAAAAAAATGCTGGAAGTTTTCAAAAAAGGTCTTTGGTCATACAACAGAAGTTGGTAAGTTTCTCAAGTTTTATTTCCTTTATTTCCTTCTCCTTATTTGTGGGACCCAGAGGGCCAACCTACTGTCCATTTTTAACCTGACTGACTGACTCCCCGACTGACTCACTCCCCGACTGCCTCAGCCCACTGATCTCTATATAAAGACTGGATAGCTTATAAAGAGCCGCACAATGAATGAATTTGACGCCATATTGGTGAGACCGGCTGGTGATCTACAAAGGACAAGTTGCCGTCTTTATAGACAGCATGATTTCTTTTGTAACGTCGCGGTTCACTTGACTTAAATTTTTGCCACCACCACTGACCAAGGTTTACTACAATTTTTCTAACGTCGTGGTTACTTTTATAATGCCGCAAATCACTTTTTCGGCGTTTTTGAAATAATAATCACTATGGAAATGTGTCCCTTTTAGAACATCATAATATGTGTACGTGACCAAAATGCGCGTCAACTGTTGATACAACGCGCGCGTATTTACACGTAGAACGTTCGTGTTATACGCGGCCATCTTCGTGAGATCGGGGGCGAATTGGTCAATATGCAAAGTCTACTGTGTGAATGTTGTATGCATATCCGCTATCCAGTCTTTATATAGAGATCAGTGCCTCAGCCTCGACTCCATGGGCGCGTGCACATTCCCTACACTAACCCCTGGCCGTGATGATGACGTAAATGACGCTGATTGGCTATTCACTGCGTACTGCGCGCATTTCGAAGATTGCACGCCGGGCGCGCCCATAATGCGCTCGCGTGCTTTGCACGTAAACGTCACGTTCGAAAAAAAAGTGTTATTCAAAAGTCGCGATGCCTGTACGATATGGATTATGGCAGCCTCGTTTTTCGCTAAAAAATCCCTGTATCTTCGGTTGTAAAGGGACGAAAGGGGTACGTACATTTAATACAAATCTTTGCTAAATAACGCAACGTCCAAACGTTATGTTTGAAAGGATTGATTCTTCAAAATCACAACTTTTAACATTTTAAGATGGCGTCGGCACGTAAAACGGATAAACTGCAGCCTAATTATAATGTGCCATATTTTGACACATTTAAATTACACGATTCCAGGGGTTAAGATCGCGCAAGGCATGATGGGAAACAAAATGGCGCAGCAAGATCGTACCCATGGGGAATGAGGTTGTGACTGCCTCACTGTCACTCGTGAGTTGGACTTGCTTAAGTCTCTTCTCGGCCAAAATATTTGACACTGATGGATATATTATAGGCCCCTTAGGCCAAAAAAAAAAAGTCTCTGGTTTCTGGTATGAGCGCGCGTCGCCGTTGCCATGCGCGTCGGCAAAATGAAAAAGTTTTTTTTCCAATGAAAGATGATGTCTCAAAACCGCCAAACTCACTGGTTTGACTGGAATCCTGCTGCTGCACAATTTTAACGTGTTTTTAGATGGGGTTATGATTGAGGATAAGCTTTATGTGGCCTCTCTGGACTCCCATATATTTGCACTAAGTTTAGTCGGGCACCATTTGCAGTCATCAGCCGACATTTGAAGCAAAAAAGTCAGATAAAAAAAAAAAAAAACCGCGGCGCCGCACCACTTTTTGGACAAGCTCCATACCAGAAACCGGAGACTTTTTTTTTTGGCCTTAGGGCTTGGCTCTAAATATATCAATATAGGATTTGTAACAACTTCCCTGCAATCTTCCCCCAATTAAGTAGATCACCAGTATATCTTACCCAAATATACCGAATATTCAATCACCACCTGAATATTTGAATAGCTTTACCCCGGTTTAAATATTTAAAAAGAAATAAACATGCACGTGCACACAAGACTGTGATGTTTTTTTGATTGTAAATTTGTGGGTTTTTTAATTGTCGGACACCATGTTTTTTTTGTAGACCGTATCGTTTTTGTTGACGCCTATTTATTGGTCCCATTCTTTGGTCCAAGTCCCTTAGCAGTTATAAAGCACTTACTGCAAAACCTCCAGTGGCCCATAATATCCATTGCTATTTGCAAATTTTAATCGGCGCGCTTTGAATGCAACTTTCAATTAAAACCCTGCGCAGCGTTTACAAAAAAACTATACAACTCGTCAACGGGGGCCCTCTGGGCAGCAGGTATTTCCCGCACTACGCAAGACCCTATTCATAGCAATACAACAAAAAGCCACGTGCCAGACAGTGTCCAGACAGTGTCCAGACAGTGCACTGGAAAGATACTTGACTGGTGGCCTAGGTATGCAGTAATGAAGGGAGATGGCTGTGTCAAGTTACAGGTCTTTGTTGATGTTTCAATGAGACTTGGCAGGAGGCCTGTTTGAAAGTTTGTTGACACGGCCTGGGTGAAGCCCTGGCTGCAAAGTTCATTGAACCAGCTGATTTGGCAAGGGTTGAATGAGGATTAGATAGGAGGTGACCGTCATTGGCAATCAATTTTTTTTTTTATTCAAAAAATTCGGTCACCTGATGCCCCAGGGGCATCAGGTCACTCCGCCCAGGGTTCCCAGCGAGGAAGGCAGCTGCAGCTGGCGTGTGTAAAACTTGATCGGCAAGTTTTGAATATTCGAATATTTGGTCAATTGCGGTTTCAAATAATCAAATACTTAATTATTGGAAAACCGATAGCCCTAGTATAAACCTTCAAACCTTAAAATGTCTTTCCAAGTTTTGTTTTACACCAGATCAAGTAAATTGCAAAACTTGAGTGACTGGTACATGTACACGTATTTTGGAGGTCACATGTTAAACTCCCTTGAAGTTCTTTGTTTTGCCTGAAATCAATGAAAATGAGCTTACTCACTCTTCCCTTTGTGGTTGATCTGGCAAATTGCTCTCCCCTCCCGTCAACAGCGCCTGTAAATTCTCCTGGGAGTTTCACTTGTCCAGTCTCTCTTGACCAGGGGGTTGACCAGGAGGATATCCAGAACGTGGATCTCAGCTGGAAGGTAATAATTCAGGTTCAGATAGATCCGCAAGATACTTGCACTATAGGATGAGTAAAAAAACCCCGAAACCCAAATGTTGGAACCATTTAAATAGTGAAGTTCTGCATGTAGCACTTTCAAAATCTAGGATATGAAAGCCCATTCATAAGCTTTCTTTTACTACAAGAATCATTCAAATCACTTGTGTACTTTTCAAGTTACAGAATTACAAACACACACACCGTTTTTAACTTCTGTCCACGGATCACAAGAAGGTTTGTGTTCTTTCAGCAAAACAAAAATGAATCACATAGGGATGTTTGTAAATTGTTTTCGTTTTGCTGAAAGAACGCACACCTTTTTTTGTGATCTGTGGACAGAACTTTAAAACGGTGGTTGTGTTTCAAATTCCGTAACTTGAAAAGTACATAAGTGATTTGAATGATTCTTGCACTGAAAAAAAACTTATGAATTGGGCTTTCATGTCCTAGATGGGTCATTCTATAAATTTGGGGTCCAAAGTGTGACATTTTTCCCGTCCCTGTTACCTTGGTACTTTGTAATTTGCCATTCAAGCATCATTAAAAGTGACTTCAAATGATTGTTTATTTGTTGGGTAGGTAGTTTGCTATTCACAATCACTCTTGGAGGATGACCGCATTAAGGAGTGCATCAGAATTATACAATCATAGACATCAGATGTAACAGGAACGGGAAAAAAAGTGGACCCCAAATTTATAGAATGACCCAGATTTGGAAGTGCTACATGAAGAACTTCAATAAAATAATAGTCCCAACATTTGGGTTTTCCTTTTTTTGACTCGTCCTAGTATACTAAATAACAATGGCTGCGTCCGAATTACTTAGCCATACGGCTGAAAGTAACACACGGATCTACGGGCAGTGTGGGGAGTGTGGTCTGGTTGTTAGGGTTTGTGACTCATAATCAGAGGGTCAGGGGTTCGAATCCAGCTGCTGGCCATATGTTGATTTCTTGGGCAAGCCACTACACCCCCACTTGCCTCTCTCCACCCACTAGTATAAATGGGTACTGGCATCAGCTGGGGACTAACCTGCGATTGATGAGCATCCCGTCAAGGGGCAATAGAAATATTCTCAGTCATTTTGTGCTACTGAAATGCTGGCCTGATGTGTCACATTTGTTTGTGACAGAATTGACTTTTGACTTTACTCTATGGGAATTGGCTGCATTGGTCTGCTTCCATAGGCGTGAGTGTTATTTTCAGCTGCAGCCAAGATAAATTTTGAAATCCTATTAAATTTTTTCAAAAACTTGGACAAATACTTGGTAGATGTAACTTATTGAGTGACTGCACCATAAATAACCCAAATGCAATGGAATCAAATATCCCAAAACCAAATGGTACGAAAATCAAACATCCCCACAACTGGGGAGAAAAACAGTTGAATCCCCACATATTTAATACACTCTGACGACCACAAAGAAATAGACGCAACACTAAAATACAATCTTTAACCACCCCAAATAATTGGAAGTTCTCATTTTTATTCAAGTAATAATCAAACCAGTTCAGTGTTAAATTGTACCTTTCACCGACGTGTTTATAAATTGGTGAAGGGCAAAACCTAATATTGATTATCACGCAAACACAAAGTCCGTCTTATGAATAATCAAACCGACTTAGTTTGTCGGTAATAGCAATGATGTATATTTACCATTTTAGAATTTTGTTTTGATCCTGTCGTCATGTGAAATGAATGGTTTGGGAAATACGGTACATCCAACAAAATTATAACAATATTGATGAGTCCATAGTCAAAAGAATGAAAAGAAGAAGACAATGCAACATGTTTGAAGTCTTTGGAACCTTCTCTGAAATTTTCCAGGCAGTGCCCAATGAGTACAAACAGAATGGAGAAATCCTCGGCTATCAGATTGTGGTTCATAACCAGAATGTGAAGCATCATGTTACGGAAGTGGCCGTTGGACCTAACATCACCAGTCACAGGATCCAAGGTGATTTGAAGTTCGATGCATTTTTTTAAAAATCAGCGGGAGGTGGGTTGCAGGCCAAAGCCAAGGAAAATGCAAGAAACAGAGTCGACTATTTTTTCTTCTCAACTTACTTTTTCTTCTCAACTTACTTTTTCTTACAAATTCACTGTTGGGGTTCGCTCATTTTCCTGTTCCTATTAACATCCGACATCTGTGATTTTATATGTCCGAGGTATTAAGTCTTCCTTAATGCAGTCGTCCTCCAAGAGTGATTATGAATAGCAAACTAGTGGGTTTGCCCCAGTGTTTCTGGCAGTGGCTGCAATATGCGCCACAGCACCTTCTAAACCCTTATAAGGTGCTACATAATGGGTCTCATATTTCTCATCATTATTACCCGGTATTTCCCTGTAAAAGACATTGAGTACCTAATTAGTAGATACCGTACGTGCACTATATAAGACTCCCATATTCTATTATATTATTATTACCTACACAACATTGAATAGAATTGCACAGCTCCCCCTACTTGGCTGAACTTCTTTCCTTTCATGAACCTGGTAGGGAGGGGCTCAGGTCTTCCGACAACAATCACCACCAAGAGAACAGGAGACAAAGCATTCTCCATTGCAGGTCCAAAAGAATGGAACAATATCCCATCACACATCAGAGACTCCCAATCTATCCAATTTTCAAGAAGCTTCTCAAAACCCATCTCTTTGCTCTTACCACCAGCTCTTCTTGATTGTTTCTTTCTTTTCAATGCTTTGATCTTGCTAAAAGCGCTATACAAATCACCAGTTTATTATTTATATTACATACTTGAATGGCAAATTACAAAATACCAAGGTTACAGGGACAGGAAAAATGTCTGTTTTTGGACCATACCGGTACATTTATTGAATTGACCCAGTAACAAAAAAAAAAGAAGAAGAAAGAAAAAAGAATCACTTACACTTGTATGAATCGGGCGCAACCCTCTAATAGGTGGAGCCAGCCTTTTATTGAACTCAGAATCAAAAAGTGTGACTTTCCTGTTTGAACCATGTTTAAGTTGATTTGTTCACAAATATGCATATTTTCGATAAAATGTCAATTTGGTGCAACTGGGACTAGTGTTGCAGAAGTCACAAACTTGCCCAACGTGCAAAATGTTTCTCAAGTGAAGTGACAGATGTTGCGCAAGGCAGTGTTGAACTAGTTAAGCAGGATCATGATTTATTTCTTTTAATGACCCTGCAGGCCTGCTCACTGGTAGACATTACAACATCAGCTTACAGACACGTAACTCCATGGGACTGTCTGACCCCAAGTGGTGTTCTGTACCAAGCATTTCACCAGGTAATGTTTGGAATCATATCAGAAACTGCACAGATATCCAAAAATGTATGCATATACAGGAATCCATGCATTTGAGCCAAATCCTGCATGACTTTTATCTTATGGTCACCTTCATAATAAAAATACAAAGCTTTATTCGGACCTTTTTAGGTGCGTCCTTGGTGTCATACACTGGGCATTATGGTCACCTTAATAATAATGTAAAGCTTTATTTTGACCTGTTAAGGTGCATCCTTGTGCCATACACTGGGCATCATGGTCACCTTAATAATACAAAGCTTTATTCTGACCTTTTAAGGTGCGTCCTTGGTGCCATACTCTGGGTATTATGGTCACCTTAAAAATAATACAAAGCTTTATTCTCACCATTTAAGTTGCGTCCTTGGTGTCATACACTGGGCATTATGGTCACCTTAATAATAATACAAAGCTTTATTCTGACCTTTTAAGGTGCATCCTTGTGGCCAGTGTTTGTGTCCGTACCTATCCTGTGTGTCCTGCTTGTTGCGTTGTGTATGGTTTGGGCCAAGAAGAAATACAAAAGCTCCATCAGGAGATGGCCTGCAGCCAGACTGCCCACGCAATTCATAGTGAGTGTTGTAATGGTCTCAAAACTTAGATGTCTTAAGTTTGAATAAATCCATGTGTCCACCATGCATTAAGCATATTGTGTAGTGCGTGGTGCATAAAAATATGTTTGAAAAGCAATTGGCGCATGTTTTCACGTTCCGTTATCTGTTTTAATTTCACGCACTCTGTTTGCAATTAAAATAGGTGGTCCCTTCCAATACACACATGCTCTTTTTGGAATAACTCAAAGAAACAATGTAGTGGTGGGATGGAAATATAAATATTAATGGTAGGCCTAAAAAGGAAGCACTTTTAGTGTTTCAATTTTATTGGAAAGAACTGGGACCTGCTCTGGTTTTCATTTTTCAATTTTCTGTTAATACTCTGTTAATACGTTATCAAGATTTTTAATTTTGTTAATTTTTTTAAGTTTAATTTTTCGTAAATCATGTACTTTGCCAACGATTATCTAATGTCATTATAACTTGTTTATTTTATTTGCGACCTGCTGAGTGTATATGCACCAGTGGATTTTCAGAATAGGCTTCACAGATATGCAACCAGTTAACGCACAATGCATTACGCACATTGAAAATGGACACATGATTTTTGCCTGTATTAAAAAACCCACTAGTTGCACCATTTTTTGCATTTGTGCTTCTATGTACTGCATGCTACTGTGTAGGTGCTGTGCTTTTTTGTGCATGTTGAAATGGAAATGAATCGCACCAACTTAATGTTTGAGGTTTTACTTCAGTTCAATGCTAACCAGAACTCATGTACCTCCAAGGAAATACAGTTGGAAGTAAGAGCTCTCTCAACTTGTCCAACTTGGAGCCCATACCCTTCATATAAAGTCAGATCCTCATGTGGTACAGTTTAGCCATCTAAATGGTGAAATTCATTGATGGCATTGCTGTGAAAATTATACTAAAAAATGGACATCCAGCCCATAACGCCCCCCAAAAATTCTCTAGTTTCTGGTATGGAGCTTGCCCCAAAAGTGGTGCGGCGACGCATCTTTCTTTTTTTGACCTTTTTTTCCCTTCAAATGTCGGCTGATGACTGCAAATGATGGCCGACTAAATTTAGTACAAAATGTATGGGAGCCCAGAGTGGCCACATAAAGCTTATACTCGATCGTAACCCCATAAAAAAACACGTTAAAATTGTGCAACAGCAGGATACCAGTCAAACCAGTGAGTTTGGCAGTTTTGAGACATCATCTTACATTAAAAAAAAAACATTTTAAATTTTGCTGACGTGCATGGCTACGGCGACGCGCCGCATACCAGAAACCAGAGACTTTTTTGGGGGGCCTAAATACAATTAAAATTTTCTTAGAAAGAGCAAATACAAAAGTATTGAGCAAAATTAAGGTTGGGGAAAATAATGCTCTTGGCTCATTTTCACTGTAAAGTGAAGCAGTTTAACCCTAACTCCCTCTAGAGCATGATTTACTAGGAACCATACCCATCCTGGCAAATTGCAACACCATATGGGAAACTGCACACACATACATTGTATTTCTGACTTTGATTCTGGAGGTGTGCCAACCCAATGTAAAAGACTGTCCATTTTTACTGTGCCCATCCTTACAGATTCCAACGAAACATGCCGTTGGGGTTTGGTGGGTGATCTGTTAGGGTTTATATGCCCTCCACCGTGTATTTTATCTTGTATGTGAAAATTCTTCCTTTTTTTATGGTTATGCAGAATAACAACATTACCCATGCTCGGGGTCTCACGCTGGTCCGAGAGAGGGAGGTGTTTGATGAGCTGCCTATCAAAGAGCAGGTCCCCAGCGACAGTAGCCAGGATGGAGGATTGATTCTGATTGGGGCTCACAGAGGCGCTTGTGGTGGGCGATCACAACCTGTAGCATTGGAATTGCAAGGCCTCGGCCAAGTGAATGCGGGCAGTGATACAGACAGCTTAAGTACCATCTCGCCAGGCAATAAGCAACTCCCTAGCAGCCGCATCAGGTATCCCTCGTCAGAAGCCTCCTCGCCCCACAGTCCATTGAGCGTGGCCAGTGGCGGCAGCTACATGATTCTAAAGGATCCCATCCACTCTCACATTCGGGAGGGTCTTTCTCCGGTTGACAGGGATCGACAGAGGATGGGAAGCGATCCGTCACCAGGCCTTGTGGTCAAGGATGATGTCACTGGGTCGGCCTCCCGCTTTGTTTGGGATGAAGGGATCATTGATGGACGATCCTTACGTCTTGGTAGCTTCACAGAAACTGGTGACCATCCCTTGGGGTCACCTACTTCTTCTTTAAATAGCCCTAAAAAATGCCCTCATTGCCACTCAATCATTCAAGGTAAGAGACACGCACCTAATGAGTCCCAAACTGATGCCTCAGTCACAGGTGAAAGTAGGTCTCCAGGACGGGGGTTAGTACCAGTTGCTGAGGAGAAAGATGAGAAGGAAGAAACACATGAGCAGAGAGAAAATCCAGATGTTTTCTTCGATTGGGGGGAGCCTTCAGTAATGTGGGAAAGCCTTCCCAATATCCCAAGAAGTGATGCTGCAAGACCGAAAACAGAACCGCTGATGGATTCTAAGAGAGGAGAATTAAATCTTGCAGCAGGTTACTGTGGGATGAATCAGGGGGGCTCAGAGAAAGTGGCCAAAGTAGAAAGAACAGCTGCATCAGATTATTGTAAGATGAAGAGCCAGATTGGCGTGGATGAATCTGTCAAGTCTCCAGAGGGAATTGATGGAAGTGTTTGGTCACAGTGGCCTAGGGATGCATGTCATACCGAGGGTTTTCTTTCCGACCAAGAGCCCCTGCTCAGTCCAGATTCGACTGTTTCTTTGCCCATCGACTATGAGAGTCTGAATTATGTCTCTGTTTGCACAGATGGAAGTGATGAAGACATGGAGGAACAGGAAGCAAGTTCACAGCTTAACACGAGCAAGCTTCTCAATGATTCCGATGATTTAGCTACACAACGGGACAACAGTTCAGCAGGTTGTCGGGCTGAAGGTAACGGCAATCCAAACCAACCGTCTCTTGCTCCTCCAAGAAAGAATGACGATTCATTGGTTGCGTCCGAGACAGGAGAATTATCCCCTTCAGAAGGTTACTGTAGGATGGACCAGGTGGGCTCAAAGAGAGCCACGTCCGAGGGAGAAAGCACTCCTGCATCAGATTACTGCGAGATGAACCCGATTGGGTTGAATGAATTCACCGAGACTTTAAAAGGAAACAACAAGGGGAGTGATTGGTCACAGTGGAATAGGGATACAGGTGATGGCGAGGTGTTTCCTTCTGAGCAGGATCCCCTACTCAGTCCAGGTTCCAGCATTTCCTCACCCCTTTGTGAAGATGGCAGTTTACACGGTTCTAGTCTTCTTAAAGATTATGAAAGTCTGAATTATATCTCTGTTTGCACGGATGGCAGTGATGAAGAGGAGGAGGAACAACAAACAAGTGAGGCCTCACGGTCCCTTCACAATTCCGATGCTTCAGTCATGCAAAGGGACTCCAGCCAGGGCATTAATACAAGTTCAGAGGACTGTCTTGCTGAGAGCGATAACAGGCCAAGCGATGTAGCTCTTTCTTCAGATGAAGGCTTCGAAGAACAACAAAGGCAAGTACCGGTAACATGAACTGCAGCTTCATCTCTTTCTGTTTTTGTTTAGTCCTGGGCAAGACGACGTTGTGGTTTGATATGCGATAAGCCACCGCCGCGAGGGAGTTATCACAATGAACTGCTATCACCCACGAACCGCGAGCCAGCAACAATGTGTAGGGAATCTTGTTTATCTTCTAGATTTACAAGAGCGCATGTGCTACTTCTGTACGGTCTATTTTCTTTCCCACAAAATGCCACAAAAGAGCTGCCCAGTGGTTCTCAGATTTATAATAGCTTACACATTCCAGTGACACAGCATCTGGTCGACAGTGCAACTATCTTGAAAATCAAGATCAAGACATATTGCATAGGAAAGCTTTCGCCAGGAATCTCGGTTGCTCGGGAAAGCAGAGCTGAAAAATTATGCTAGACAACATCCTTACATGCATATTTGAGAAAACAGTATGAGACGTGTGTATTAAATGAATGCTTTAGATCACATTTGCATATAATACTTTGCCAACTAAGTTACATTGAAAAAAAGTGGATGTTGTTACGGCTTTTTGCTTGCCATGTATATAGTTACCATTCTGCCATTTTTAACATTCCATGTTTTATAAAATAATGCTTGCCTCACAGTACATGTAATGTATGTATTTTATGAAGAAGTAAAATTCCTATTTGCAGTCAAACCACTTGCCAAAAGAAATCATGCCAACAGTATTTGAAATCAAGACCGTCCAAGTTTGTGTGTGTGATGAATTACATGTAACTTGTGATCAGCCAGTACACAATAGGTCAAATATTTAAGAGGCATAAAAATGTACATATGTGTAGAGTATAAACAACTGAACTGTATACTAACTGGACTAGATGCTATACCTGATTTGCACTTTGAAGCAGCTGATTTCGCCATCTTGGATCCCCAAAATGCCACGCTGTAACATACAATGTACATTGTTCTACAATTGATATTTTTTTTTACTTAAAACAACAATTCCCTAATAATCTGTTATTCTTTGTATGTTGGTACGAAAGCATCAAAGTGCCGCAAGCAATTTCAAAAAATCTCAATTTGTATCTTGCCGTGGCAATTTACTATCTCACCGCAGGGACTTACCGGTACTATCTCACTGTGACAATTTGGTATCATGCTGTGCCGAGATGTTATCTCGCCGTGGCGAGATGCTATCTTGCTGCTGCAAGTAAATGTTCCCGTAGTAACTTGCCGCAGCAAAATAGTGTCTTGCCACGGCATGATACTATCTCGCCGTTTTGTACACTTGAGCACAATACCCGATGTACACTTAAAAAACCTGCGTCATGTGGTTGATTCAATATGGCTGACGGTTGCTTCATTGCACAGGCATTGACATCCATTCCACTTTAAGACCAGTGGTGTAAACAGTTGACTTAATACTGGAGTGAAGTTGTAAACTTTGAAAGTTTACTGAAATTTGTGGATGGAAAAAACATTCAACATATAGCTGGATGTATATTTATTGCTTGTCGAGATTAATGCAAACTAGTGTAGGGCTAGTCCGAAAATTTAGGACTCTCAATACTGTGTATGAGAGACCCAAAACTTAAGGTACAGTGCCATATGGAAGCATGCAATACAAACAAATAGACTGGCACATGTATGAAACAACCAGTCCAACAACCCTTCAGTACTGCATCACATTTTTCCATAGACGGTCAGCCGCGAAGAGGTCAGTCTTTTCAAATGGTTGGATCATGGTTGGAAATGTACCAGTCAGGTCTTTGGCCTCAAAATGATATCTCTTGACTTCACTCTCGCGTGCAAAAACATTTTTGTTTTTAAAGAAAAGTCTCCTTTAAAAATTGAATTTAGACTTCAAACTTGGTCAGTGAAATACTGAGTCATCATCATCATCATCTTCCTATACTGTGCAGAAACCTCCGCTGGAGTATACTCGCACATTGGTTGAAGTGCAAACAAGCAGGTGCAGACATAACTCGAGGCATAAAAAGACAAATATGTGCAAGTAAAAACAGCTATTTTGGGACAGGTTGGTTATCTGAAGGTGACACCGTTCACTCTGGTCTTGAAGACATCCAGGGTTGGTGACTCAACAACTTGCTGGGGCAGTGAGTTCCACAGGCGGATGGTGTCTGGGAAGAAGGAGCCCTTCAGTAAGGTTGTACGGGTGGGTGGGATGAGGAATTTCTGGCTGTTGCCTCTGGTAGATGAGTTGACCGGGATAAGGTGGTTGTCTGGGATGTCGATGAGTTTGTTGGTGATCCGGTACATCATTGCAACTTTAGAGATGGCTCTTCGGTGTTGTAGAGACTCCCAACCCAGTTTACTCAGCATGGTGTTGACACTGCTGTCTCTGGAGTAGTTATTCATGATGTACCGGGCAGCACTACGCTGGACAGATTCAATTTTGGTGATGTTCCTTTTTGTGGAAGGGTCCCATACGCAACTGGCATACTCAGCAATAGGCCGCACAAGGGTGGTATAGCAGCGGGTCTTTACTTCACGAGGGCAGTTGCTCAAGTTGCGTCGTAGGAAGCCAAGAGATCTCAAGCACTTCTTGGAGGTGGTGTCTACATGTCTGTTCCAGGATAAGTTGTCAGTGAGTTCTACCCCTAGGTATTTAGCTGATGGTACTGCCTTCAGAGGATGGTTGTGGATGGAATAAGTGAACTTTACCGGTTTGCGACGTTTGGTGATGCGAAGTCTTTGCCTTTTCAACAATTTGGAGAATTTCGTCAGCCAGAGAGTAAAGTTGGCCTGAATTTGTTTTGCATGTATTTCAACACTCAAGGTCCCATGTGTGGGGCGTAAACTTGAGGTCATGTTCTTTTTCTTTTATGGGATGTAAAAAATATTCTGTGTGTGCCATTTTTGAGTTCCACTAAAAAAAAATGGTTGAAAAGTACACACATGGGGAATTATATGTACATGTATTTGCTGCCAAACATTTGTTAATATCTAATACAGGCTAGACTGGTTCCTGCCCCCAACTCAGCATCATTAATGTGGGGTCTAGGAACTAGTCAACTTGCAGGGTGGATCCGGTTGTGTGCAAAAGCACCCCAAAGTAGATGCAAACCTTTTTACAGAGGGATTTTGCCCAAATCAGAACTGTATTTTGGTAAAATTAAAAATACAAAAATTGGGGAGTTCTGGACAGCACGGCTTATGTTTGGATCAAGGCATCATTGTTGTTGGTAAACCCGGGAAAATTATCACAAAAAGTGTGGCTTTGCCCTAGTGTTTCTTACCAATTGATTGATTTGTATCGAAACAAAAAAAATAAATAACAATTAATATTTTTTTGTACATTGTTTAGATAACTGTTTTATATGTTAACTGCAATATCGACATTTTGTACATGTATGAGGTTTGACATGCAATGGTTCAATTTTCTTTTTACAAAATTAAGAGCTATTGAAAAATAGGTGCTACACAAACTGCTGTGTAAATTAATGCCATAAATGCAATTAAGATACAATTAGATATGTATTTATGCAATTACTGCAATTTAGAATTAGCTTTACCGTAGATATACATGTACTTCAACAATCCAAACTTTGATCTTGATACGTTGAGTATTTTTCCTCCTGCTTACGTGCAGTGGCGTCACCAGACTTTTCAGTCTGGGGGGGCACAGGGGGGGGCACCAGCATTTGATGGGGGGGGGGCACTTAGGTGGATACGGATCGCCGTCCTGGGGGAGGGGTCTAAGGGGAGGGGGTGCCCCCCTCCCCTTTGGAAAATTTTCGCATACGGAGGATGGGCTAGATGCAAAATGGTGCCACATTTGATGCTAAATTCGATCTGAAGATATCTCCAGAAATTGCTATTTTTGAGGTAATGATTTTAACAACGCGCAGAATTTTGCAGAGGATAGGGGGGCACCAGCATTTGATGGGGGGGGGGGGGGGGGCACGTGCCCCCCCTGGCCCCCCCTTGGCGACGCCACTGCTTACGTGTAAATATGTAGTTTTATAGCTTTTTTGACAGATTCTTGGACTTACTTTGACCTAAATATGTGAAATTATTCTTAAATTTTCAAAGAAGACACATAGGGAAACTGACTAGGTGTATTATAATTATTTTAAGGTTGAACAAAGAAATTGACAGGAGCAAGGTTTGAACCTGGGACCTCCGAATAACTGTTCCAGTGCTATACCAACTGAGCTATCCAGCCCTGTGTTGGCGGCTCCTCATTTTTAAACAGTGTCTTTGTTCAAGGGGTGCTAGTCGGAAGCCATAAACCCGTGTGTGCCATGTAGCCAGGGATCACGCCCAAAGTCACGAGCACCGGAATGGTTATCCGGAGGTCACAGTTCAAACCCCGCTCCAGTCACTTTTCTTTGTTCAAACTTTAAATAATTATTCTGAACTTATCTTGCTGACAGTATTTTACTACATGTATTGCAACAGCTAGTTGCCATAATGTTTATTATGCAGTTTTATATCATAAGCTGCATGCTATTGGTGCTAATCCTGTTTAGGGATATTGATGCTCTTTGACGAATGTTATTAATATTTTACCAAATGTCCTAAATACCAGATTGAGTATATTGTTGATATAAGAACATTTTTTTTGGTGGACAACCCACATACAGGTACTTAACAACTTAATGTTGTGTTTTGTCGCAGCTGAGAACTGCCTTTATTTTAATACAACAATCAGACGGGCCTGTGTACATGTATACATATCACATGAACCAATTACAATCTGATAAAAAAAGTGTGTTAAAGACACCCACATGTGCGTGTAGGAACATTTGTAGTTGACAGGAAATGTACCTACATGTACCTACCTACATGTACATGTATTAAACACAATAGGACTGGTACCCAATACCCTGTGAAATTATTCCGCCTGAAATGGTGTCATTCGGAAGAAAACAATCATTGAAGGTAGTTTAACCTAACCTCAACTTCAGGTAAAGCTACAAAACACTACTATAAGTAAACTGTAGTACCTGTATGCAGTACTTTCATTATTTAACCCTAAAAGGGCCGGGGGGGGGGGGGGGGGGGGGGGGGGGGCAGAATCTGCCCCCCCTCAACTTTTTCCAAGATAACCTTGAATTTTTTTTTTTTTCGCGACCCGAGCTGTAATGACTTTTTAGCCTCGAGCCTTGCGCATCTTTTGATACCAAAAACATAAAAAAAAATTCCGGCGCTATGCGCCGTGAAAACTGAATGTTCCCGTATACGTCGTGTACACAGAGCAGAATTGCCATTCGTACATAATCAATTAGCCATAATTCCAAAACCCTTTGACCTATAGTCATGAAATTTCTTGGGTATGTTCATGTTTCGTGAAACACCCCTCTGGCCACTTCCATGGTACGAGCTGTGCGCGTGTAGTGCTGAAAATGTCGATCGACATGTGCGGGGCTCGTATTGCCCAACTGGGTGCAGAACGCAGCTCGGTGCAGGAGAAAGTGTTTAAAACCAGCCAGTGTTTTATCCGCGGTTTAAAACCACTCCCATGACGGAGCTCAACCAATCGGAATGGGTAAACTGTCTACGGTATTTATGAATGTAAATTAAAGTTCCTGCAGCTCTTTCTGTGACACTGGTGTTTTGTCTTTTTTACACTAAAAACATAAGCATTTGGTTTTTTTACAGGTACTATAAGCTATGTTAAGAAACTTTAAAGCCCTTTGTAACATTGAACTGGTAGCTTATTTTACTTTAACATGTTAAATGCTCATTTGTCATAACCTATTTTACAAAATATAACTCAGTATTGGTATGGATCGAATGTTCCATCACAAATGTTCTTTAAAGCAACAAACCACTCAATGTTAGTAATAATTATGGAGAAGTTAATGAACATTTAAGGATTTATGTCAAACAAAATATACACATTTATTTTTAGCCTTAAAAAGTTGAAATTTACAGTTCTATTAAAAAATTATAAAAAAACATTACTTTCTTCAGAATTGGTTCATTGTGTATCATAGGGCCAATGATTTTCCATTTCATGAACCCCTAATCTTCTTAAATGACTGATACTAGGAACTTTCCTTACACTTGCAAAATTCAACACCATATGGTAAACTCAACCCCCTAACTGTTGGACTCTGATTAAATGGTGGTATACATGACCATGTAAAGCATAATCAGTTTACTAGAATGTCCAGCGCAGTTCTCACTCCAACAGAATCAAGCAAAATATATATATGTGCTCAACAGGTAAGATTCCATCACCGCGCCCCAACCCAGCAGAGACGCATCTGTCGTGATCAGGTGGACTGGAGGGCTGGAAAAAAGGCCCGATGGATATTGTCTGGTTGGATCCACCACCGGAGATACGACCAGATATGCTGTGAACAGATATGCGGTACCACATGGGAAACAGGATGGGACAGAAGATAGAATTGAAGGGGTCGCATATATAGGCGGCACAGCGGAAGTAAGTCCTCAAAGCTCACAAGTAGGCCACGAAATCACAACCATGTCAGGGTTGGTGCTGTTGGCACATTGACAAACATTGGCGATTCGCTCCTGCGTCGGGTAAGTCATGCCCCGTTGTAGATCGAGGACGGTGCTGAGATAAGTGGACCGTTGAGATGGAATTGGCTGGGATTTGGACTTGTTGATGAGAAAACCTTAATGAATGGCTAGAGCTCTCTAGGGAATAATGTACCCGTAGTGGTTCTACAGGTAAGACGAGCGCAGAACTGGAAAACTTTCCTCCCGGAGAAAGCTGTTAACATCCCTGCATGGCGTGAAGGTCATGCTACGAAGGCACTTTACGCACGTGCTTGCCTGATTTCTTGTGCTTGCGTTTCAATCATTTTACACAAACTGCACTGGATTTTTGTGTTCATTTCCGAAACAAATCATTGTAGTATCGTGTACACATTAACAAGGCATATTCACTGATATAAGCGTATAATGTTCCAGTGTCACAATGAACATAATGTAGGACAGTCGTTTGTACAGATACAAAGTTTACGCCCAGCTCGGATACTTTTTCCATGGTCTCGGTAAATTTTCCTAAGAAAAAAGTTTTCAAGTACAGACCCTGCTAATGATTTGCCAATACGGATTTAATCATCATCTCCTTAAAATCGCAGAAAGTGTACTTTTTCAGCTAATATTTGTTTCTAAAACGGATTTAACCATCATCTCGTTAAAATCGCAGAGAGTGTACTTTTTCAGCTGATTTTTGTTTCTAAAACGGATTTAACCATCATCTCGTTAAAATCCCAGAAAGTGTACTTTTTCAGCTGATTTTTGTTTCTAGAGCCCCGTTGCTTGGCAACTGACTTCCCACAGCTGTTTTGCCAGTGCCTCATCTGTTGCCATGGCAGCCTCGTTGCAAGGCTGACAATCGACAAAGTAGGCTCCCGTGTGTTCCTTGACCGAATCGTCGATTGCGCAGTGGATCACGCATTGGGCTCCGGCGTCGGGAGTGCGCATGAGCAATCTAAAGTGCCAACACAAAGAGAGGCCAAAACCAAGGGGAAATAAAAATAATAAAGTAAAGAAATAAAATTGGTACAGTGTAGACCACGTTTGCCTTGTTTTTATCATGTTGATAACATGACTATTCAAGGGGTATGGGATTTGGTGGGGGATGGTAAGGATGGGTAACGATCCCCTACCGTCTAACCAATTTAAATTTTATACGTAGCTGGGAAAAATTATTTTCCCGAAACATGTGTAAAGTCGTACAATAGTGCAAATTGTATTACGTGAAAAAAATCTCAAGTGCATAGCAATGCACATGTACGTTTTGGTGATCAAAGATGGTCAATTAGTTACTTTGAGGTGTTTTGGCCGATCAGCGTTTCGCAGCTAGTCCAGTAATTATAGAGTGCAGTGATTCGCAAGGAACAAGGTTCTTACCTGAACAATGGGATGAGTAGCTTCCTTAAGCAGCCTCTACGTAACAGACCATCGATGGCCCCCGTGTAGACTATACCCGGATGGATAGAGCACACCGTCACCTGGGTGTCCGCCAACCGCCGGCTGAGCTCGTGCGTGAACAGGTTGACCGCCATCTTACTGATTGGGTAGCTGGCCAGCTTAGGGTAGCGTACCGCACCAGTTTCGTCTGCTTCCGCAAAGTCAAACTCCGGCGAGAACCTGTGGGCCAGGGAGGTCAAGTTGATGATGCGACTCGGCGCAGATCGCTTGAGCAGATCCAGGAGGAGGTTGGTGAGAAGGAAGGGGCCAAAGTGATTGACACCAAACATGAGGTCAAAGCCATCTTCTGTTTTCCCCTGTTGACCTATACCTGCAAGCACAACAGGTTCAAGTTGAAAAAAGAGATATAAGATATTAATCATCATTTAAGAAAGCTACAGGGTAATTCCATGGTAACTAGTGTTACATTTTGAAGGGGACTTTGGTCAACTTTCTACTGCTATTTTATGAAGTCAAAGTATTTAAATGTATGTAGGGTGTGTTGTTCTCAAGTTGGACCTTTAAAATTAAGTGACTTAAAGTACATTTGTACCAAATAATAATCCGGCAAACAAAATAAAATTTTGTTGGTTTGGCAATAACTTTTCTTATTGAACTACTGAAAAGGAAATAAAATTAAGAACCATGCTTCTGAAAATTTCCTCATACTGTGAACTGGTGGGAAATTTTTTTCAGTGCCCTTAATTATGTCATTTAGGGTATATGTCATACGGTACCATATCACTTATTTGTCCATCCATCTTTGGTGCAAGATCAAACATACCGGAACATTATAATCTCAAAATATAAAACCAAAATCTCACAATAACACTTGTAATTTGCGTGTAACGACAAGGTGCCAAAATGACTACCTAAAGTCATAATTTTATCCCCTCCCTAAAAAAACCCCCAAAACAACAAAAACCCAAGGTTTTTAAGAAAAAAAACCAACAACACACACACACACACCCACACACCCATCTTTGTTCTGTGGACAACACAAGAGTTGTCCCATGGTACTATGGGGACCGAAGACGTTGTGGGGACAGCAGAAAGTCCCCATAACTCGGTCCTAATTTGCCTAACAAAAAAAAAAATCCCCATAACACAGTGACGGCCCGCCCACAACCACGCAGCGTTACACATTGTGGGGAAGACCTTTGTTTCCTTTCTTTTGTTTTCCTTTGTTCCTATTGAAATCTGAAACTCCTCAACGTTTCCCTTATGGGGTAGATTGATTTCTAAAGACTTCCTCATGGGGTCTATTGTTCCATTGTGTTTTCTACCCCATAAGGAACACTGTACATATACACATATCCCATCTCAATGGTAGACCACTCAAATGAAAGTTCTTGATGTTCCCTTTTTTAATTTGATTCTCATTTGAAATTGTGATGCTTGTAATTCTGAAGTTTACATTAAAGTTCCCATTTTCAGCCATGCCAACTTTCTTATGGAATTGCGAATTGAAACTAATTTCTATAAATATAGTCTAATTAGTTGAGTCATTGTAACAAGTTGGAGAAAGGAATACAGTACTTTTAATAGTTTCATAGATTAGTGTGGTGGAGGAGTTACATGTATCTCGCATCAGTAAACTGACTGATTAAAGATGTTCTGTCCATGCTATTCAATATTTTTCAATTTTGTCTCCTAAATTAGACCTAATTTGACTGTTAAAATACATTATTTTCCTCTATTTTTGGTGTCTGGAATCCTCTGACAAAGTCTTATTTTAGATTGCTTCTGTGAACAAATAGTTTCAGCCTTTGAGAAGACTGGTTATCCCTTCCCTCTTATCAGGCAAAAAATAACAAACATTTGTAAAGTAATTGTATCATAACTAAATTTGGGCCATTTTTTTTGTAAATGATTGACTCATTCAAAACTAATGACATTTTTATTTTGAGAAATAGGGTAATTTACAAAAAAAAACATTCAAGAATTCTTAATTGTTGTACGCATAATACTTGTAATTAGTGTACATGTAGGTTTTAATGGTTTCATAGTTTCTTGACTACACATGTACATGTACATGTAAGTTATAATTTTGGCCTTACTAAGCATTTGCTCAAACAGTTAGTACCGGCCCTCATACAATGTTCAATGTAAAAATCAACTCTTAAAGGGAATATACATCATTTGCTTTTACTGTAATTTTCAGAAATGGATGGAATTGGGGGGTTGGAAATACATGTATATAGCAAATATAGTTACACTGACTTTTTTGAGGTTTTGGGTTCGAAAATGCTAAAAAAACCCAAGAAAAACAATCGTTTTCCTGTAGTCTGGTTCCCTGACTCCATATAAGAAGAAACAGAGCAGTTTACATACATTGGGGAATTGTAAGGTCAGGGAACCAGTCTAGCTGGCTCGTACCCGTTCATAGGTTTGTAATCGATTGCAGACAAGTGCGATGGTCAATTGGGGCCAGTATTTGAAAAAAAGCCAGTTTTTTCAAACGCTGATTGGCTGATCAGCGTTGGAAATTGATACAAAAATACCACTTTTCTTGAAAATGACAGTATACCAGGTGCCATGATTTTACAGGATGCTTTACACTGTCATTCACTAACAGTCCAGCAAGGTATTTTAAAATGATTTGGTAGTTTTATTTTTTGATGTTTGCAAATGTTGTATTTTCCCTTTAATACAAGATCTATAGGCTACATACCGGTACGATACTCGATAGAGAGTAGCAGGTACAATGTACAAGTACTGGGCATATGTACACAACCATCAACAAAATGATAAGAGGAATTTCCAATTATGAGAAATTGTGTTCTGAGGAAACATGCAGGCAATTGTGGCGTCACAATACATGTATGCAGTGGCTGTGTACTTGACTGTGGTATCCAGTTCAGTATTGAAAAATCTGTGGACAGTAGTGCTGTAATACGTACACCTATGGTGTGGCTGATTCTGTTGACAGAGTGCATACAGGAAAAGACTTCCAAACTGTACCGGTACCATTGCAATAAAACAACTACATTGTACAATAAGTAAGTGGATGATGATAATGCAGCTAGTACATGAGAAATATAATAAATAGCGACGTGCACGCGGGACCCCTATGGAAATATACCAATGGGCTTTTGGGCCTTGCACACATGTACTTGTAAGCATGTTGTTGAGTTCATCTGCATAAAATTGAAGTGAATTGAATACATGTACCGTATGTAAACTGTTAGTGAACATGAGTCAGTACATATATCATAGTTACATGAACATGTAGTGTGCATTAAAATTTATTTTCATTCTTATGTATGAAGCGTACAACTGAACAAGATGGCAGAAGGGGGTGTGACTGATCTAGTCTTGGATGAGACTCGGAAGGAACTTCAAGAATGTCCTATCTGTTACACTGAGTACAAGGATCCTAGGAGGCTAGACTGCTCACACAGCTTCTGCCTGAAATGTCTGCAAGAACTCAAACTGACACAAAATAAGGATGACAAGAAAATTGTCTGTCCGTTGTGTCGAAAGGAAACTGCCCTGACCGAAGCTGGCGTGGAAATGCTACCTGGAGGATCAAAGGATGTCAATCAAAAGGAACAGACTGAAGGTCAGGGGTTAAAAGTCATGTGTCAGGTATGCGATGAGTTGGAGAACGAAGCTATTTCTCGATGCGTGGATTGCAAGCATTATCTTTGTCAAGAATGCCAGAAAGCACACAATCGATTTGCAGCACTGAAGAGTCACAAGATTGTTGCTTTGACAGAGCTACCTGTTGAGTCCGAAGAAATAACTTAGGACATTGAACTCAAGAAAGTTCCTAAATGTCGCAAGCATCCAGATCAACATCTCTGTCTGTATTGTGACACATGTGAAGTCCTCATATGCAATGAATGCACAAACTTTGATCACAGAGAATCTATGCATTCTCATGTCAGTATCGACCAGGCGGTTAGCAGATGTAAACAAGAAGTAAATGAATCCGTGTCTAAAACAGAAGAGTACATTAAAGCATTCATTTCTTCGCACCCCGTTTCAACAGACCATTCACGTTACAGACTTGACAAGATGCTGGCAAAAACATACAAACAAATTTCACAGAAAGCAGAAAAGGAAATTGCCAAAATCAGAGAGAAAGAAAAACAACTCAAAATGGAGGCCAGGGACATTGCCGCTAAACAAGACAAAGAATTTGCATATGCAGCAACACCACAGCAGACTCTGAGTAAAGTGAATGAAGTGATGACTACAGCATCATGCTATGAGATCCTGGAGTCCAAACAGAAAATGCTGCGGGATTTGAATGAGCAGGTGGAAGTGCATAAGAGTTTGGATATCAAGCATGGGAAGTCATTCCTTGGCTTTAAGGAGAGCAAAGAGATTGGTCAGCTTGGGACTCTGCTCTTGAAGGAGAAATGGGAGAAGGATGAGGCCTTTTCATCAAGTTTATTTTTTGATGATGCCACAGCTCATGTACAGGTACCAGTAGCAGCATACTCCACAAGTGAAATGGTTGTGGCAGACAGTGATCAATTGCATACATTAGATCCTAAGGGGAAGGTGATTTCTACAAAGACCTACAAACCTGACCCTGATAAACCAAACGAACCCCATGACCCTAATGACATACAGAAAGCAACAGCTCTAGCCATCAACAAGGATGATCAACTTCTGATCCTAGACAATCCTGCAGTCAAGATCTTCAACAAGGAATACCAGCTCCTTCATCAGTTCCTACTGGGTAAAGAGGCCGGCGTGGACGGCACGCCGACGTGCCTGGCAGTGGACAGCAGCAATCTGATAGCAGTGGGTTACAAGGACAAGGAACAGATATCTCTACACAACCCAGATGGTTCCCTCGTCAGAACACTGCCTGCTCCAAAGATTGATGCACATTTGATCTTCAGCAACAAGCGGCTTATTTACACCAACAGCAAGGAAGGTTTGCTGATGGCTGTTGACTTACATGGCAACAAACTGTTCAATCAAAGTTGCTTTTCTCCTGAGGGGCTGTGTTGTGATGATGCAGGTGATATTTACCTTCGTACCCCAAATAACTTTTGCCATTTCAGTGCAGATGGCAAGCGCATTGCTTCATGGTACTGTCCAGATAGTCCTGATATCACATACACACCTGCACATAAATTAGCAGTTACAAAGTGGAACAAGTGGAGGTCAAACACATACATGTATCACTCAGTTTAGAAATATGAGCCATAACATGGACAATTTGCAAATTCAAGCAATGAAAATAATAGGCAGTGAATACAAATTCAAATTCATTTATTTTGTACAAAAATGATATCAACACATTGTAATATCTACATAAACATGTACATTATTGATGCGCCATGCACCCATGAACATGTGCAATGTAAACTTTCTGATTGCAACTTCACAAACAGGACAGACTTAAAACACTTTGAGCCGGATATGGATTGTGCAAATAGAAAGTTTACATGCGTTATAAAATCTTACATTTGGTATCTTACATTAATATTTGGAGCTTGTATATATGTGTTTTAACAGAAGTGCTAGTTTGATATTCCTTTTTTTTAATTCCCAAAATGACAAAATTTGTCCCAAACTGATAACATATTGCCTCAGAAAAATAACAATAAATTTAACATGAGGTGTCAGCCTTAAAAAAATACCGCATGTGTTGCATGTTCTTCTCTACTTGTATTGCTATCTATAGGCCTACAAGTGTAAATACTGATGGTTATCGTGCAACATACATGTACCGTATTGTCCTCTTTGTCAAGAAAAGAAATGGAAAATTACAGACGAATTCAAACACCCCGCCCATGAAGTTTTGACCAATCATAACCACGCATGCATTCACATACATGTGCACGTCCGGCACATGGCACACGATTGGTTGCCCACATGGTGGGCGGTGCCAATTAGAATGGTTTATTCATCAAAGGCTATTTCCAGACCATGCAGCTTTATTCTTATTGGACATTCAGAAACAGTAACTTAAACAAATTAAACTTCCCAACCAAGCCTTCGTTGTAACTTGGTTCACTGCAGTTTCTATACACTTTTCTTAAATATTGAGACTGTTTTGTATTATGAATATGAGTAGAGCAGCTAGGACATGAGAGGCGCACATGCTGTTGCCCTTGTGTATGGTTGGTGGTAAAGGGTGCCGTTTAAACATTGAAATGATAAAAATTCTTAATCCATTTACAATTAATTTTCCAAAATGTTTAAACGAAACCCGCATTGTATAATGTGACATAATTTGTATGTTTACTGTATCTGCCCTCGTACCGATACGTATGCATTTCACACACACACACGCAGTCGTTTTTTGCTATGCTTCCAAAGATTGGCTTTGTGTTTTCCTTTGTTCCCTGATCTAAACCTTTCCCATAGACTAAGTGCACAAACCTGCGTTCGAGGACAAATAGGCACCATCGTTCGAGGATTAATGACCCCTTTGTGCTCGTTTTGTTATCTGTCCTCGAGCGTAATACAATACAGGAACTCCCACACACACGTGTGTAAATGCCGGCAATCGTGGATATGCCCCATTGTCCCTAATCCTCTTTCCTTTGTTTGTACTCTCAACTTTTTAGCGACAGCTCTCATTGGTTTTGTACATGATTTGAGATCGTGGACGTTCGGTCAATCATGGACGTATTGTTTGCGCCCCAATTCTTTTGTCCTCCACGATTGCCGGTGTTTACATACTCACGCACACACACACACACAGTCGTGTTTTACTATACTCTCGAGGACAATGCTTTGTCTTTTCCTTTGTCCCTGTAATATAACACTCTCCCATGGACTAAGCGCACAAACGCACGACCGAGGACCGATTTCAACAAAAGATGAACTCTCAAGGACAACAAAGAATCTGTTGTTCTCCCTTTGTCTGTCTGTCCTCGGGGTGTATATAGTTCACATACACGCACCCCCCCCCCCCACACACACACACAATAATACTAAAGGACCCCTTTAAACCATTTTATTTACAAAGCAAAAGACAGTCCATTATGAATGATCTGCTTTGTAGATCAGTGTCGATGCTGCCCTTCGTTTGCTGTGTACCATAATTATTTAATGTATATTCTTGTAACTAACATGTTCGTGTGCAAACACTGGTGCAGGTGGCATGCAGCCTGTGTGACGTGGCTAAAGGTTTTAACGTTTTACATTGGGCTGAAATACCCCCGGAAGATGTGCTAAATGTTTCCAAAATAGATGCAAATCATGGAGGGCCAGCTCCATCAGAATGAACTGTTATATAGGCCTACCTTGGAATATTCTGCACAATCGGTTAAATATTCTTTTGAGATAAGATCAGCTTCATTCTTATTGGAGATTCAGAAACACTACATGTATCAGAACTTTTATACTGCTTTGCTTTGTATTATAAGCACATGTACCGGTATGCATTGGAGCCTTTGGTTTGGTAGTTTTAGTTTTATTTACTTTAATAGTTTGGCTTTATTATTGATCAAGCATACAATTTGATCAGGCATTTGTAGCCTCAGAATAAAGGACGATTCTCCATTAAACCTAAACAGTTTGACTAGTTTTCTCCTTCTTGCTGTGGTTTATTTATTTAACCTACATTTCAATGACTGCCAAAGACATTGGTTATTGCAGATGAGTTAATTCTGTTTCATTTTGAGTTTTAACCACTATGGATGTGTAACCTGGAAAAATGACACACCTGGGGAACTCGCGAAAACTAATACAACTATGGGGATTCTAACCAAACTAAACTCAGGATCTTTGAAGAGAAAAGGCGCGAGGAGACTGAATTAATAGGGACAAGGGACACAATTCTAGATTTCGAACAAAAAAAAGACAAAAGGAATTTATTTACAAGAACTTCAAATCAAAATCAAAACAAAAGATGAAGACCAAAAACTTAAACCTAAAACCAAAGACTCAAACCAACACAGTGTGTATATTAGTAGACCTTAAAGACACTTCTGGCAGAAAATCTGTAAAACAAGATAAGAGAGTAAAGAACATAATAAGAAACAGTAAACAATGCAAACAACTCAAGCTACACTAGGTCTAAAGTAATATAAACAATGCCCTGTGGACTTGCTATACAGTCTTGCCAAGAACACCAAAAATCTCTTGTGAATACCTAATGAGCAAGATAAACAGTGGTCCCTGTCTTCTGAATGCCAGGTGGGACTAATCACCAAGGGGCTAATTCGCATTCCTGAACAGTAAACTTGCAAAGGTCCAAAGCAGATAAGAATAACTAAATGAAACAGGTGGCTAAATACAAAATAAAGGAAATGCAAGTCTACAGTAAATGAACAGCTTGGACAAGTCTAACTAATGAATAAACATGGCAAACTAATCAGTAAGAAGTCTGTGGGAAAACCACTCCTCTTGGCTTTATACATGTACAATCTATATATATAAGAGAGAGTTTAACTCGGCCTCCGAGACGATGTTTGCTCATGAAAGGATCCGAGACCGCGGGCTCCCGCGGCGCCAAAATCGCTCCACGTCCGTGGAAAAATACGGAGGGTGTCTTCCGCCGGGTCGGACACTTCGGGTCGTCCTGATTTTCCCGTACGGACCGGCGATCCTTTTCGTCGATTTTTCGTGAAGCATTTTGCACAGGAATTTGCCGTCGTGTGCGCTTTCACGTTGACTGCCTGGCCGCCCCCTGTGCTGGCTTTTCTGCGAGTCTAGACTGTGCGAGGTCAGCGAGGTCAGCGAGGTCAACGTAGGGGTTTCGTTTACGTGTTCTAACTCAGCCGTACTGCCAAAGCGTTCACCAAATTGTGATATGGGGTGACCTTGGTAAAATATTTTTTCTCCATGGTGCGTGGCCACCGAGTGCCCCTATTCTTTCATATGCTTCGCTTGCCGCCCCTGCGCCGAGTGCAACGAATACTCAGAAGGACTACACATTAAGTATGCCTTGCGCGGTCTGACCAATCGAAAGTCTACACTGCGTAGTATATCCGGGCTATGCAAAACTGTCGATGGCAACGCGTACTGCAGCCTGCTCCACACCCTGGAAACGAGGTTGGGTCTACGGTGCTCGCTATTTGCATGATTTGAAGCACAAGCATGTGAGTGACGTGTATAGTGCTCTGTTGCTTCCATCGTGTGTTAATACAGCTCCATGCTTCCACCAAGGCTGAGCGTTGTGAGTTCGCTGCCCGCCACAGTGTTGCGTTATAATTTCGGGGGCCTGTCTGGGATCAACGAAGGATCGATGCATTGCTTCAAACATCGCGATCTTAAACGCAGTCACACAAACAATCCACGAAAATGTGTCCGATCCGGCGGAAGACACCCTCCACATTTTTCCACGGACGTGGAGCGATTTTGGCGTCGCGAAAGACCGCGGTCTCAGATCGTTTCAGGAGCAAACATTTCTCGGAGGCTGAGTAAAATTTGCTCTTATATAGATGGTTGACCCAAGTTGAATAACAGTTGACTCGACAAGTTCCTCGCAGACAGTCTCGCAAATTGTAAGACGTTCAAGTTTACGTTTGTTGAAGAGTCCAATATACTGAAACTTAATTATGACCTTCTTAATCAGCCTTCGCCTGTGTACTACGGCAAGCATTTCAAGTACGTTTTCTCACAAATGCCACTGCCTCACAAAATGCCAATTTAACAGACCAAAGGGAACATTTACAGACTGTTGCCATGGTACATAATTATCATGGGCGTCAATCGGTGGGGACGGGGAACCCCTCCACCCCCCCCCCCCCCATTTTAAAGCGGTGGAGACTTTTTTGGTCCCCCCCCCCCACTTTTCTTCCCCGAATAAAAATTGTAGCTACTACATGTATAATGATTCCATTACTCAGAATAGCTGATTCAATGACACCAAACTCGAAAATGATGTTTAAAAGATGATCTTCGTTTTCCAAATGCGACTGCCTCACAAAAAGCAAATTTAACAGACCAACGGCAACATTTACAGACAGTTGCCATGGTACATAATTATCATGTGCGTAAATCGACGGGGGACAGGGGAACCCCCCCCCCCCACACACACACACACACACACATTTTGAGGGGGGACATTGTTTGGTCTCCCCCCCCCCCCCCCCACACACTTTTTCTTCCCCGAATAAAAATATTGTAGCCTACAATAATGATTCTATTGCTCAGAATACATGTAGCTGATTCAATTACTCAAAACTCAAAACTTTCACAGATGATCTTTTGCTCAAATTGGTTTTAGTGATCAGAAATTGCCTCAGATCACACCACAGAAATTGATATTCTTTAACTGCATGTCTCACCAACTATATCCCCCATTTACATTTAACTCCCCACATTTTCATCCCCAACACTACGCCCTACCCGATCTATGATCGGGTAAACCAGCTTGTAAAACAATAAAGGTGAAGAAAACACCATCCAAAATACTGAAATCAGATGTCAAAAGAAAAAGGCAATGCAATGCATCTATCCAAGTCATTCCTCGGAAATTAAGTCAATGAAATAAATCAAACTTCTGACAACACAGTTTTCCTCGAAAATAACAGAACTCTAACATGTCTAATGATCCTGATCAATCAAAATCAAACAATACAAGCTAACTTTCTTCAAGTAATTTCTAAATAAACCCAATCTCAAAACTTCAAGTGATAATTCCTACAACTTACAAGGCTGTTCAGGAATTCTATAAAACTTGATTGTCAAAACTCTGAACAATACCAAAACAGATCAAAACTTCTAAAAAAACTTAATAATACACTTAATGAGAAAATACAAAAAACATATATCAGAACTCACCAATAACTCGAGCAGATAAACTCTCACACAGGGCAAAGCGCACCCAAGAAAATCAAGGGGGAAAGAGAGGTAATAAAATGCACGGTCCTCTCTCTACTGCCGCTGGTCTGCTACTGATCATGAGGGGTCTGTGGTCTTACAGGGTGAGTAGGGCACATGGTCTTGAGACAGGGGGAACCAATGGCATGGGAACAATTTACATACAATGTGAACTGTTACTGGGGAAAGCTAATCAGGGGTACACACTTCTATGAAAGGGTAGGGGACATCTAATAAAAGGGGTGATTTATTCAGGGGACCTACTCCTATCCTAAAACACTACAAAAAAATACAGTAAAAACTACAAGTAAAACTTGGCCCTGCCACAGATGGTTACCCAGACCAGTGCTATGGGCCCATGTAACAGACTGCCTATAACATGCACTGGGCCTCTCTGCGGCACACGGAAAAATGTGTGGAAAATCTTATTTCTTTTGGCTTTGATACACATTAATGCATTGGCAACTTCATTGGGTTTAGAGGCACACTTACACAGACTGGTAGGGCTGTCCCAATTATACAGAATATTCGATCATCAACTGAATAATTGAATAGCGTTTTGCTGGTTGGAATATAATACGAAAACAAAACAACTGCGCATGTACTCACACGACTGTGATGTTATTTTATCATAAAGATCAGCGCTTTATTGTCAGGTGCAACTTTTTTTGTCGATGGTAATTTTTTGGTCACGGCAGTTCATTTTCACTATCCTTTTAGCATGTTTAGCAGGTTAAACCCAAGCTTGACAGTTATAAAATAATTACTGCAAAACACTTGCATGCAACTTTTGACCGATGTGGCATGCAGTTGCAGGTGGTAGTTTCGAATATCCGAATATTCGGTCAAACACAGTTCAAGAAATCGAATACTAAATTACTCGAAAATGGACAGCCCTACAGACTGGGTACTGACATGAATGAGATAGGAAAATTAAACTAGGCATTTCAAGATGTCTATACCTACATACATAATTTCCTGAGGATGAATTTTAAACTGTGATAGAATGTTTGCATCAATTGTTTTTGTGTGTCTTAGAGAAGTACAATCTTGATTAATCAGGTTGCCAAGCTTTTTCTACAATTTCTTACAAATTTGAGGCATGCCTATAATTTGAAAACCATATTAGCACAGAGTGTATGCAATACTACCTGTGTACAAGCGTGGTGCTAGTCTTGATCCAAGAACTGGATTTGGATTGTATTCCCCTCATAAGGCCAGTTCATGACAAGCGAGGTCGCTACCAACAAGATGAATCAAATCCAGTCTGGGCAATATTGGCAGTGCTACCCAGGAAAATCTGATACCTTACACGCGCTTTATACGATCGAGTTAATGCCTGTGCGTGAGGTTTGCTCAGAATTTCCCAGGAAGTGCTGCCAAATATTGCCAAGACTATAGATTCGATTCATCTTGTTGATAGATGCCTCCACTGCCATGGCAACTGAACAGTATTGTCACGGCACTGGCTGCAAAATAGGAGAATCAAAATAAAAAATCCAAGTCTTGAACAAAGACTAGTGTGGTGCCACCTCAGCAATGGTTTATTTTGGTCATTGGATAAGGCTGTAGGGAGTTAGTTTTTGTGCTTTTTTTCTCCAATTCTAAGGATATTGTTTTCAAAAGAAATTGTTTGTCTAATTGGATGGGCCTCGACTACTGGATGGTGTTTTATAGATCAGTGTGTTTCATTGATCTGTGTGGGAGCTATGGATATTGCACTAAATGTCTTACAGAAATCAAGTGCATTGATTATTTAATATGTGCACACTTTTTTGGTAAAATATAGTATAAATTTGTATAATATGTTCTATTACATTTTAATGTTTTAACGTTCCTTAAAGCATTAATTCATATGAGAAGGACCTCATTGATCACCATTTGCTAGAATGGTTACCCTCATAACGTTTAAACAATTTTTTAAAAAATAAACTGTAATACACAGATCCATACGCCTACATGCATGCACAAGCAGTTGGGTGGTGTACAAGTATTATGTGCACACAGCGACAACATCGTGTATGCTTGAGGTCAGAGGTGTCTCATGAAAAGCTATTCGTAAAAACCTGGGAGTTTCCCATATGAGAAATTGTGTTCATGAGGAGACAGTTCAACTGTGACGTCGCAATGATAGCTGTTGCAACTCAGTAACTGTGAACTTGACTGTGGTAGTGAGGCACTATACAACGGGTACAGCACGTACAGTACAGCAGTGAGCACTAGCGTAGTACATGTAGCAGTACATGTAGGGTGTGGCTGATTCTGCTGAAAGACTGTATGCGAGAAAAACTTTCAAACTGTACCCATAAAACGGCTACATTGTAGGTAAGTGGAGGATGATAATCAAGCTAGCACAGGAGAAATACAGCACCATGGGACCCTAATGGCATAAGTAATTAGCTTTTGGGGGTCTGTATCCCAGATGAAATTGATTTTTCTTTGATTCTTTCTGACTGTCCTTTCTCTATCTTCAGGCAAACTTAAATCTTTGATCCTGATTCATGGCCAAACAGTGTGGTATTATCCCATACAACATATGATCCCTATCGCACTGCACATATTGCGATATTCTACGATGCGCGCACCATTCCTGCCACAGCGCACGAACGAGTGATATGATTTACATACAACTGCTCAAGGTTCATGCTTGTAAAGTTGTACATGTATGTATGGTGAGTGTTCCAACATTACTGTGCATTAAGTTTGCTTGAAGATAACTTTGTTATTGCACTCGCGGAACACAGAAAATGCGTCTGTGTTCCCTATGCCACTATGGTCTCGAGGCGAATACAGAGGCACTACTATATTGTGTGTCTTACTCACGCCTGTTGAGTTGCATGTTGTTGATTTCTTCTGAATGGATTAAAAATTGAACATTGAAGTGAGTTGAATAAAGTGTTCATGTGCATGTAAACTGTTATAGTGGACTCACTGAACATGAGTCAATCTACATGTACATGTACATGTACATGTACTGTATGTTCACATGCATAATCCTTCAAATATTTATTTTTCATTCTTATACAGGACAACTGAGCAAGATGGCAGAGGGGGGTGTGACCGATCTAGTCTTGGATGAGACTCGGAAGGAACTTCAAGAATGTCCCATCTGTTACACTGAGTACAAGGATCCTAGGATGCTAGACTGCTCACACAGCTTCTGCCTGAAATGTCTACAAGAACTCAAACTGACACAAAATAAGGATGACAAGAATATTGTCTGTCCATTGTGTCGCAAGGAAACTGCACTGACTGGAGCTGGCATGGACATACTACCTGGAGGATCAAAGGATGTCAATCAACAGGAACAGACTGAAGGTCAGGGGTTAAAAGTCATGTGTCAGGTATGCGATGAGGCGGAGAACGAAGCTATTTCTCGATGCGTGGATTGCAAGCATTATCTCTGTCAACAATGCCTGAAGGCGCATAATCGATTTGCAGCACTGAAGAGTCACCAGATTGTGGCTTTGACAGAGCTACATGTTGAGTCAGAAGAAATAACAGAGGACATTGAACTCAAGAAAGTCCCCAAGTGTCGCAAGCATACAGATCATGATCTCTGTCTGTATTGTGACACATGTGAAGTCCTCATATGCAATGAATGCACAAACTTCGATCACAGAGAATCCCTGCATTCTCACATCAGTGTTGATGAGGCATTCAGCAAATGTAAACAAGAAGTAAATGAATCTGTATCTAAAACAGAAGAGTACATTAAAGCATTCATTTCTGCCAACCCCGTTTCAGTAGATCATTCACGTTACAGACTTGACATGATGCTGGCAAAAACTGACTCTCAAATTACACTGAAAGCAGAAAAAGAAATCACCAAAATCAGAGAGAAAGAAAAACAACTCAAAAAAGAGGCCAGAGACATTGTCATTAAACGAGATATGGAATTTGCATATGCAACAATACCAGAGCAGACTCTGAGTAAAGTGAATGAAGTGATGACTACAGCAACGTGCTATGAGATCCTGGAGTCCAAGAAGAAAATGCTGTGGGAATTGAATGAGCAGGTGGAGGTGCATAAGAGTTTGGATATCAAGCATGGGAAGTCATTCCTTGGCTTTAAGGAGAGTGAAGAGGACGGTCAGCTTGGGACTCTGCTCTTGGGGGAAAAATGGGAAAGAGATAAGACCTTTAGATCAAGTTTTCCTGATTCCCCTTACCTAGCAGTATACTCCACAAGTGAAATGGCTGTGGCACACACTAATCGACTGGCTATATTGGATCCTAAGGGGAAGGTTATTTCTAGAAAGACCTACAAACCTCACCCTGATAAACTAAACGAACCCCATGACCCTAATGACATACAGAAAGCAACAGCTCTAGCCATCAACAAGGATGATCAACTTCTGATCCTAGACAATCCTGCAGTCAAGATCTTCAACAAGGAATGCCAGCTCCTTCATCAGTTCCTACCAGGTAAAGAGGCCGGCGTGGACGGCACACCCACGTGCCTGGCAGTGGACAGCTGCAATCTGATAGCAGTGGGTTACAAGGACAAGGAACAGATATCTCTACACAACCCAGATGGTTCCCTCGTCAGAACACTGCCTGCTCCAATGATTGATACGCATTTGATCTTCAGCAACAAGCGACTTATTTACACCAACAACAATGAGGGTTTGTTGATGGCTGTTGACTTACATGGCAATGAACTGTTCAATCAAAGTTGCATTTCTCCTGGTGGGCTGTGTTGTGATGATGCAGGTGATATTTACCTTCGTGCCCAGACAAAAATCTGCCATTTCAGTGCAGATGGCAAGTGCATGGCTTCATGGGACTGTCGGGGTAATTCTGATATCACATACACACCTGCACATAAATTAGCAGTCACAGAAGGGTGGAACACGTACATGTACATGTATCACTTGATTTAGAGATATTGTAGCGTTTGACCAATAGATTCAAGATGATGGATGTGATTTTCCAAGGAGTTTGCCGACAGAGTACTGTAACACAATGACAGACTAGACAACACGTTGACATAAACGAAATAAATCTGACCAGGAGACAGTGCCTTATCAGTCAAGTTTTTAACATTTAATCCTCAACAAATCACAAATATGCCAATCACTTTATAACAATAATTACTGGTTATTTGCACACTGATTCACCTTAATTTAAGCAGGGGGGTGAGCTATCCGTCGGGGAAGATTCGGGCTCGAGTCCTTTTTTGGAAGTTCCGCAGCACATGACTGTTCAATCCAAAGCTAACACAACAACCTTTTCGCACGTGAAGTTAATCAACACAATACATTATCCTGCGCTGCTAATCTGCACGTGCGCGACTGGCCCCACTCTCCGGACGGACAGCGCC